AGAAGGTTTATAACAAAGGAAATATATCAAGCTAAAATGTCCTGCAAATGAGAAGAACCCTCTTGAAGAACTTCCAAATCATTGTGAGCAATCATAATACAAAAGTTTTATGCACGGATATAAATTAACATTATAATAAAACTGCTCTGGGTTTGTGTCATAATTCTATTTCTTGTTTTGGTTAAAATAAAATCACATTAATAAGGATTTATCATGTGAAAGAATGGAATTCAGTAGTAACATTCACAAGCAGGGGTGTCCAAACTTTTGGTGTCTCTGGCCCACACTGGAAGAATTGTCTTGAGTCACGCATTAAATACACAAACACTAACAAAAACTGATGAGCAAAAAAAAAGGGTTTTAAGTAAATTTACGATTTTGTGTTGGACTGCATTCATAGCCATCCTGGGCCGCATGTGGCCCACAGCCTGCAGGATGGACACCTCAGCACAGGGGTGTTTAGTGATTTGTATAGCCATTTATATGAATTATGCATTGGTGTTTATTTTTCCTATACTTTATACATGAAATAAAAGGATCTACTGTTCAAATAACTGTTTAAAATCTATTTTATGTACTTTTAACTTCTCAGGTTTATAATTCTATTTTCCTAATTTCCCTATCCTTTACACAGGTAAATTTAAAATTAAAATAAGACACATGATTCCCTTGGATTTTCGTTTTCCACATACCTCACTGGTATTTAGAAAAAAATCTATGGAGAAAATAAATAGCTATATTTAGCATTCATTTAGAAATTTAGCAGGATGCTGAATATTCAGTCTATCTTTACTTCCCATTTCATTAGATTGCCAATGGCATATCATGGACTGAATTGTGTTGTAATATGTAATAGGTTTTTAAAGATATTTTGGAAAAATATTTAAGTTTCTATGGAGATGTTTGAGGATATTTTGAAATACCAAACTTCAGACTTAAAATATTTGTATTCCCATTTTTTTCAGTCTTATTGAAATATAATTGGCCTTGACATACTGTGTGAGAAGGTGTATGTGTTGATTGGATACATTTATATATTGTAAAATGATTACCACTGTAGCATTAGTTAACACTGCCATCACATCACACAATTATTGTTTCTGCAGTGAGAATATTTAAGATTTACTCTTAGAAACTTTCAAATACAGAGTTATTAAAATTGCATTACCATGTTGTGCGTTAGATCCCCAGAACTTATCTTTTAACAGGGTATTTGTATTCTTTGAGCAACATCTCCCCACTGCCCCCATTTCCTAGCCCCCGGTGACCACCATTCTATTGTTTCTATAAGGTTGGCTTGAAATTCCACATAAAAGTGATAGTGTGTATGTCTTTCTCTATCTGATGTATTTCACTTAGCAATAAACATGAGAGTTCAGATATGTCTTGGAGATCGTATTCCTCTGAATACATACCTAGCACCTGAATGCTGGATCATCTGATAGTTCTATTTTCAGTTTTTTTGAGGGAACTCCATATTGTTTTCCATGGTGGCTACATCAACTTACATTCCCACCAACAACGCGCAAGGATTCTCTTTTCTCCACATCCTCGCCAACACTTACCTTTTCTGATGATAGCCAATCTAGCAGGTATGAGATGATACCTCATTGTGGTTTTAATTTGCATTACCCTCATGATTAGTGATGTTGAGAATCTTTTCACATACCTGTTAGCTATTTGTATGTCTTCTTGGGAAAAAAATGTCTCTTCAGTTCCTCTATTTTTAATTGGATTATTTTTGTTATTGATATTTTTGTTATCAGATACAAGCTTTGAAAATATTTTCTCATTCTATAGATTGCCTTTTCATTTTTTTGTTCCTTTTACTATACAGAAGCATTTTAGTTTGATGTAGTCCTCCTTACTTTGTTTTCATTTCTTGTTCTTTTGGTGCCATATTCAAAAATTGCCAAGACCAAAGGACTAAATTTCCCCTAATTTTCCCCTAAATTTCCTCTAGGGGTTTTACAGTTCTAGGTTTTCTTCTTTAGTCCATGATGAGTTAATTTGTGTGAGTGGTGTAAAATAGGGACCCAATTTCATTTTTCTGCCTTTAGTTGTCCAGTTTTCCCCAATGCCATTTATTAAAGAGACCACTCTTTCCCACTGAGTCTTTTTAGCTTCCCTGCCATGTTTTGACCATATATTTAGCTGTTTATTTCAATGTTCCCAGTTAATGTTCCATTGGTCTATGTGTCTATGTTTATGACAGTACCATACTCTTTTGTTTACTATAGCTTTGTAGTAGCTTGATACCAGGAAGCCTAATGCCTCTGGCTTTGTCCTCTCTCAGTATTGTTTTGGCTATTTGGGGTCTTTTGGCATTATACAAATTTTAGGATTTTAAAAATATTTTTTGTGAAAAATGCCATTGGAATTTTGATGAGGATTACACTGAATCTACAGATGGCTTTGGGTTGTATGAACATTTTAACAGTATTTAGTTCTTCCAATCTATGAACCCAGGGTATCTTTCCATTTGTTTGTGTCTTCAATTTCTTTCATCCAAGTCTTAGTCTTTAGTGTACTGATCGTTTACCTCCTTGGTTAAACTTATTCCGAAATCTTTTCTGTTTTTAATACTGTGAAGTTGTTTTCCTTCCTAGATATTTTGTTGGTGTATAAAGACACAATTGGTTTTATATTATGCAACTTTACCAAGTCTGTTGATGTGTTCTAACAATTTTTTGAGATCCTTAAGGTTTTCTACATATAAGATCATGTGATCTACACAGAAAGACTATTTTACTTCTTTCTAATTTGGATACCTTTCAGTTCTTTATCTTGAAAGGATAAAGTGATTGCCTTGGCTAGGACTTCCAGCACCATTTTGAATAAGAGTGGTGAAGGTGAGCACCCTTGTCTTGTTCCTGATCTTAGAGAGTTTTGTCTTTTGCCACTGAGTATCACGTATTGAGGTGTGTTCCTTCTACACCAAATTTCTTGAGTTTTTATCATTAAAAATGTATTCTGTCAAATTGTTCTGCATGTTTACATATTTTACCTCTTGTTTCATTAATATGGTGTACCCCACTGACTTGCACACGTTGAATCATCCCCGTGTCCTTGCTTGATCATGATGTATGACCCTTTTACGATGCTGTTGAATTTGGTTTGCTAACATTTTGTTGATTCAGTCTTGGAAAGTTTTATGTCTCTACTTTATCAGTTTCTTCTAGATTATCCAGTTTGTTGGCATAGTATTGTTCATAGTTGTCTCTATAATCCTTTCTATTTCTGTGGTATCAGTTGTAGTGTATCCTTTTTCATTTCTGATTGTAAGGTTTGGGGTTTTTTTGGGTTTTTTTACCCTAGCTAATATTTGTCTCTTTTATCTTAAAAAAAATCTGGTTTTGTTTACTTTTTCTATTGTTTTTCTGGTCTCTATTTCATTTATTTCTGCTCTGATCTTTGCTATTTCCTTCCTTAACTTTGGGCTTAGTTTATTTTTCTTTTTCTAGTTCCTTGAGGTATAAACTTAGGTAGTTTTGAGATTTTTTTCCTCAATCAGGGCATTTATCACTATAAACGTCCCTCTTAAAACTGCTTATGCAGCATCCTGTAGATTTTGGTATGTTGTGTTTCCATTTTCACTAGTTTTATACTTTCTGATTTCCCTTTGATTTCTTTTTTAACTCACTGATTGTTAAGGACATTCTTCCTACTTTTAGAATCACTTTTTGCCTACCTCAGCTGGTAGGTACATGGATGGACAGAATGGGAGGGTAATTTGACTGTATCATCAATCACCCATAGATTTCAGGCAGATTTGGCTAAGTGGGGTTGAACAGGCCAGGTCAAACAGGTGGTAAAACATGTAAACAAATAACACAAACAAGAAATTTGAGTTATTATGTGATAACCCCCTTGTCATTGGCATCTGCAGACTGATTAGGCCTGAGTAAGAAACATGGCTAAAGCAAAGGGACATTTCCTTCAAACCCAAAGATGGAATCAAATTCATTTCTTTAAAAATAAAACTTTGGGATCAAGGAACTAGAAGGAAGCTCTTTGGTTCAGAATGTACACTCAGGATATGAATAGCATTTTATTTAAAACCACTCCTCAAAATTCTGTCTCCTGGCTACCTTTGGATTTAGAAATTTTTTTAGGTTAAAACAAACAGACCAGCTCATGGAGAACTGCAGCATAGAGGTCTCTTTTGTTCCCTCACACTGTTCCCTCCTGGTCTTCTCTGCCAGAATACACGTCCCCTGCCATGGGCCCCTTGCCTCAGCACCATCCACTCCTTCGCTTCCCTGGTTGTTACGCACAACTGTTACGCAGTTGTGTCTTGATCTGTTACTTGATACTGAGTATTGCCCCTTCTAGATGAAGCTGCATTTAGAGGAGACTCCTGACAAGAAGAGATGGCAGTTTTTACATTTAGAGTGTGGACGCTCAAAAGGCAAACTTGTGGTCTTGTCTCCTCTCTCCTATCACCATGCTTGTATCATTTAAAGAAAAGCCCCCTGAAAGGGTGAAAGGGAAAAGTCTTGCTCATTTCCAAATTCTGGAAATTCTAAACTCCTCGTGTCCATTCTGAAGCTGCTATTATAGCATGATTAATTATGTTGTTTTAAATATAGCTTCACTTTGTTCTAATATGCTTCCCCCAGCCCCGACTACACATTCACTTTCTAGGTCTTAAAAATAAACTTCTTGGTAAGAACAAAAGAAATCTAACTACTGCCTATTAATTGAGAGCCTAATAATTTCTGATAACGCAGGACTTAGTGAAAGCTCCAAATCTGCATGCCAAGCCTGTGAGAAGGCAGGGTGGAGAGGGAAGGAGAAGCCCAAGGGAGAGGGTATTTATTTAACCTCTGTTTTCTAGACTCTGGATTATTTCAGGATGAAGTTACATTTTTGTTTCAATAAAAGATTTTAGAAAATTTTTCTTGGCACAAATGTAAAGTTTTACAAAAAGTAATGTGAATAGATGCAGAATTCATCAAATTATGTTACAGAGACTGCTATAACTTAATTCTCCCTAGACTTTATGAACAATCTTTATTAACAGAAACCAAACTTATTATCCAAAGTGATAACATATCAAATAAATACATATCAAAATCTGCTGCCATTAATTATAGTTTTTTAACATTTTATTGCATTTACAATGTATAGAACATAATAAGGATTTACAGTAGAAGCCAAATATCCCAGCCCTTAAAAGTTGAATAGGAAAGACTGGATGAACCGTACATAAATGTCTTTGAACATGAGCATTGGAAACATAAACATTATTATAATTTTACAGGTTTATACAGGTAACTGTTTAGTGTAATAGAACAGGAAAGAAGGGTAAAACACAGTGGGTAAGTCACTAGGGTGTGAAACAACTATAGTTGGGCGGTACTGAATAAAAAGACAACACTGAAAACATGATTTGTAAATCCTAAAATGTCCTACAAAAACATAGCTATCCTCTATGCACAACTGTGAGGTAGAATTCTTCCCAGCCAGTTTTCTGGTTTCTTCACCACCATTTGGGGGAATCCCCTGTCCGATGGTTCTCTCACACTGCTGTACCTGGGACTGACTAGTTGTACCTGTTTTTTATTAACCCTTCTGCCCCCATTAAACAGACCTAACCTTCTCTGTTCAATTAGCAATCTTATTTTAACTACTGAAAATGAGTGGCAAAAGTCAGTAGCACAAACAAATCAATGTGGTTTCATCTAGCTAACACATCACCATGCTTGAGTAAGCGCTTTAATCTCTCAAAAAGTGAAACTAACACTAAAATTTAAGGTACAGGAACAGCCTGGGGACTGTTTAGGGCAGACAAGTATTTGCTTCCCTCAAAAAACACCAACTGCCAACCATGAACAATGTCAACTCTATCCCAAACCCACTTCTAGTATTTCAAATATAGACCATAAAAAGAAGTTTACACCTTCCTACACATCCAAAAATATAGTGAAAATCCAACACACAGTACAACCACATTCAAAAAAGGTATGGCAGTTTCTTTTAAAACTACCCTATGACACAGAAATTCTAATCCTAGGTTTTCACCCAAGAGAAACAAAGGCCTATGTTCACATTAGACTTAGGTTAACAATTATCATAGCAGCTTTATTTATAATCGCCAATACTGGAAACAGCCCAGGTATTCATAAATAAGGAAATGGATAAATAAACTGCACTGTAGTCATACAATGGAATACTACACAGCAATAAAAAGAAATGAACTACTAATACACCCAACAACCTGGATAAATCTCCAAAACAGTACTTCTAGAAAGAGTACATGCTGTGTGATTCTATTTACACAAAGATCTAGAACAGACAAATCTGACTTATGATAGAAAAAAGAACAGTGGTTGCCTTTCAGGGGTGGAGTGTGCACAAGGGTGGACTGGACATGGGCACGTGTAAATTTTCTGGTAACTGATAGCACTGTATGCATTTGCCAAAACTCAGTGGGTGCACACTTAAGATCTATGCATTTCACTGTATGCTAACTTTCTATAAAAAAGCGTAAGCAAATATTAAACTCTAGTTCATGATGTGATATGCTGAAGTATTTAGTATGAAGTGTAGGCCATGTCTGCAATTTAAAATACATCAAAAAATGATCTGAATAGATGAGGTGGAGGAACAGATATGTGACAATGCAAGCACAGTTAATGCTAACGAGCATCTGGATGGTGAGTCTGAAAATTTTTATAATAAATAAATAAATAAATAGTTGGCGGGGGGAATCCAGGGTTTAAGCTTAAGAAGTAATGCTGCTGAGAATTTCATGACTGATCCCATGGCAATATAAACATCCAATTCTTCTAATCAGTGTCAAGTTAAAAACTTAAGAGCTTGTGAAAGGACATCACTGAGTGTGAAGCGAGCAATCAGTTCTCAAATCTATGCTGGTTCAAAATTGTCAGTGATATTTTGATCCCTTCACACCTTGAAAAGATATAATACACATATTGATCATACATTTAAACCAATCTGTTGGCTGTATAGGCTAACATAAGAGCTAAGTTGAAGATACAGTCTCAAGAGAAAAATCAAGCTTAGAAATTGTTTTTACCATGATTTCTAAACTGGAAAACAATGGTAATCAGAAAAGATGTGTAAGCCCAAAATAAGATGTGAGGCTTGATCTCAGTAACAGGCCCTTATGTTCTGAGTGAAGGGACATCTGAATCATCCTCATGCCTCTGCAGGACACATCTGTGGACACCCTCTGGAGATGACATTTTACTTGTAAATACTTCTAAGGTTGACTCTGGGATTCACTAAGAATGGATTCAGACTTCAATAGCCTTTTGTCAGAAATAGTTTTCCACACACTTGACTAAAAATCCATTAACACTGCTATTACCTCGCAGTTGGTAGCCATTTTTAGTTATCTACGAAGAATTTCTATATCATTATATATAGGCATTATATGTACTGCAATATCATTATATATAGGCATTATATGTACTGCTCCAGAAGAGTTCTCTTAACAAAACTAATCTTGATTATTTAAAAAATTTAGTCACTGCTCTCTAAACATTTAGTCATAGTACTGGCTTTGCTTTGATCTCTAAATCCTTCATGTTCTAGTACAGGCTCCTGTCTTTTCCTGAAGCACAGAGACTAGGCTTGTCAAGTTTCCAAGTTTGCTTTAAAATATTAGTCATGTTATTCAGCATCTTAGCTGTGAACTTTTTTCATTCTTAAACATGCCCGTACATTTATGCTGTCTAATGGAGTAACCCTAGTTCTATCAATCTCTATTACAGGATCAGTCTTTTTTCTGTTGTTATCACTGCCAAAGTGTATCAAGATTTCTCTTCTCTAAGATTTCTCTTCACTACAACATTAAGGGTGGTCTCAAGTTGTGTTTTTACCTATTTGGATACTTTATAAATATCTTAACAGTTCTGTGCTCCTGTTGTTTCTACAGAATGGTGCTGACTCACTAAGAGCCACTCCAAGTATGACTTTCTTTTACTTACTTTCTTACTTACTTAATGAAATTGTGCCATGTCCTGCCAACCTCAAAGTAGGTGATACTCCTCACTTGTCTTCCATCTTGCTGCTCTATCATCCTGCCATAAAAAGAGTTAATCTGTCAGATTCAGAAGTCTTGTTATTTACTGATGAGCTCACTGACTACACCCTTCATATACTCAGTAGGCAATTCTGAACGCAGGGGAAATGGAGCTCAGGGAGGCAGGGAAGTGAGAATAAACGATGTGCCATTTCCTCCATCACCCATGATTGTCATCTGAGACAAGAGCAAAATTAAAGAATGCTTTATTTTCTATTCTGAAAAGATAATTATAGTAATAATACCTTCCATTTTGGATAACATCTTAGTTTTCAATACATTTTAAAACACGATTGTATTTCATTCATGCTTGATATTATTTGATATGATGTCTCTCATTTACAGATCCAGAGAAGAAATTTAGCAGTTTTTACCAAGGTCAGTAAATGGCAAAGCCAGACACTGAGGTCAAGTAGTCAAACTCAACTCTTTCCATTATATTCACTATGATTATTGTTTTAGCTTTTATGATCTTTCCTCTACTATTCTTGCTATCATTTATGCTTCTTAGCAAAACCCAGATTTTTATTAACACACACTAAAGTCAAATAATATCAGATGTTTAATCTGTATTTCACTTTGCCTTATCAGGGTATTTGTTACCCTACTGAGGAGTGTTTTCCACTCTCAACTGAGGCTTTTTTCCTTTTAGAACTAGAGTTAATACTGGTTAAGTTTTTAATCAGGTTAACTGTGTGCAGCTATGTTCCAACCCTCCATTTTAATCCTACAGACATTTTCCATGGATGGCTTAAGCCAAGATACCTCAATCATGGAAATATCGTCATTGATGATATTTACTGATGTTAGTTTCCTGTGCCATTTTTTAATAGGCTCAAGATGTGGAGGACTTTAGCACCCATAGTATATTTAGTTTTTATCAGTTTTTCTTTTGCTATGGTCTGGTGAAGGAAAAGTACTAGTAATGCCCAACTCTCTGGCAAGGAACTTAGAATGTAGTAGAGAACTCTGAATTTTCCCCAAAAGTAGACTGTACGGTGAGACAGGTTCAGCATCTTTCACAATCACACCATTGGTTACAATGGGTTTAGATCAGAGAATATGGTTTGCTCGGCACTATCAGAAAATTAATTGTCATGTTCATATTAAGCAGTATGCCACTAACTATAATAATTAACTAAATAACACATTTGTCAATTGATGGGATAATGAAACAAACAACAAACACATCAATACTAGGTAACACTTGGAAGTACTGGCCAATTTAAATACCTATGAAGTGAGAGAAGTATCCAATCTTCTCCACAGCAATGAATCCTAGACCTGAAATCAACACCCTGGCTGACAGGCTGAGCAGTTTCATCCATATCACAAATGTCACCCTAGCAGAGTAAGGTTCATCAACAATGAGGACTGGGAATAAAGCCAATTTTATCTAAGATGAAGTTATCATCTTTGCATTTTAATGCTGCTGGGTTAGACATGTGTCAATAAATACCAAAACTGCAGATAATGAATTTACACAAGAGCAAATAAATACATGATAAGGAAAAAAAAAAATCCCCCAAACCAACCAAACAAACTACAACAGAACTAGCCCAATTAACACTTCAATAATTCCCTGAGGTGGGCTAAGGTAATGTGGAAAGTGTGGCATACACCAATTAGAAATGATGGTTCTTTCTCCATTTTCCAGCCAACGTTTTTATTATGTACAAAAAGCTCATGATTTCAAACAGACTACAGTTACTTCCTTCACATGTACTCTAACTGAACTATGAAAAAAAATCACACTAGGGTATTGTTGGGTTTTCATTCATAATTGTACGTGTATATACAGATTTACATATAGAAAGCAGCAACAAATTTACAAATGAAGAGCAACAATATTCATGTTAAAAGTGTATTTAGCTTCATCTGAAATACTCAAATTACAAATAACATTTCTAGACGTTGCCTTATTTTCTTTCGCTGTAGGCAGGATAGCTTAAGGCATATAAAAATTAACTCATTTGATAAGCAGGTGAGTTGATGGTAGAACTGAGTCTCAGTGTTTACAATCAATCCTTTCCTAGCAAAGTCTTAAAACATTTTTACTGTGAAATTCAGTAGATGAAATAGTTATTGAGTATAACTGAGTACCTAAATTAGCTAGTATTGAAGTATCCAAAATACCAAATGACTTATGAGTAGATTCACTCAGTCCTAACTTTAGAAAATATGTTCAAAACACACATCAGACTACAATATGAGGGATTATTACTAATGCCTATAAAGACCATTCACATACAGGGGAACTGAGCAACTATTATGCATGAGCAAAGGTCTGGGAACAGAAGCCCCACAGGATTCCTTCCCTCGGAAGAGCTTATAGTGAAGCAGGTGAACACAAACTATTGTAGCATGTGGTTAGCACCATCATGAAGACTAAAGTGAAGAATCACAAAAGTTTTGAGAAGTTAAGCCCTAAAAGACTGAGAGGATTATCAAACATAAAAAAGAACTTCCTGGCTGTTTCAGAAGCAGTGGCAGCACAAGACAAGAAGGAACATCTGAATGCTGCTCCCAGATTTTCTGGCATGTCTAACTAGAAAAGAGGCTGCACCTTTAACTGAAATTGCTCCAAGACGAGAAAGATAAAAATATTATAAAAACTTCATCTAGGTTGAAAGGACATTGAGATAAAACAGAAGCCCTAAAGATGAGATTAGGAAGCATTCTGAAGACAGAATCTGAGAGAGCACATTTGTAGATATACCTTAAATAAGTGTTGCGACGGTACTCACAGTTATGGCAGAGGATAACATCTTCAAGGGAGGAGACACTGTCCAGGAAAGGTTGCTCAATGGTGTAAATGTGGCAGAAACAGAGGAGGGTAAGAATGCAGACTGAGAAAAAAGTCATTCAATTCACTAACTGGGAACCCACTTAGAGCAGTTTCAGTGCAGTGCTGTGTAAAACCAGACCGCAAGTTGCTGAGCAGTGAGCAATGAGGATGTAGAGGCAATGGATACGGATTTCTCCAAGAAGTCTGGCAGTGTGAAGAAGGCTAGAGGAACCAGCAGGTTCAGAGGGAGTTTTTTCCATTGGAGGATACATGAGCATTTTTGAAGAAAAGGAACTAGCATACAGTTCTTTGCATAATTTTATATTGATCACAGACTAAAAAATTACTTTTCATCTTTTTCAAAAACGTTTTCTGGAATAAAAATGTACACAAAATTAAATTATATGCATTTACCATTTAAACCTAATATAAACTTAAAAGCACTAGCATTTTATAAATTTTATTTCTAAAACAGTTTTATTTCTAGCACAGTTTTTGTACTAGACTACTTTAGAATTTTGCTTCTAGTCTACCGTGAGAAATTAAACTTAACAATTGCTACTCTAGTTTCAGAAAGACAACTCTGATTTAAAGGATTACACATAAGTACTTATGTATGACTTCCTCCCCAGCCCTCCTCCTCCAAAGACAAAGTATCTTGAGGGTAGTTAATAATTTGGGTAAAATTTTTCAAGTTGAAGTAGAGAAAAATTTGAAATAGTACTCCATTACTTATAAGTTCTTAAAAGATCTAAATTGTTCTTCACAATTTTTTTTCATGACAAAACATGCTTACTTATTATATACACATGCTTACATACAAACTTCCTGGCTAAAACACATGCAACCAACTTGAAAAAACGAATATTAAACCAACCTCACAATCCTAAGAATGCCCTTTTTAATAAGGTACTCAAGTTTGGAAATAGGATATAACCACCAAATTAAATAAGATGTTTAAAAGAAGTCTTTTATTAAGCACAAACAACTTTTAATACATTATCAGTACAAATAGAAAAATGTCTTTTAATGAATAGGATATATCAAAGATCTGAAGGTTTTCTTCATACTGATATGATAAAAATCAATTTTGAAGAATAATTACAAAGTAAAATTTTGAGGACACCACTGTTTACTGATAACCATTTAACCATAGCCAAAATTTACTATATCACCTGGGGAGGGAGGGCAACCATTTTTATAGAGAGAATTCCCAAACTCTTATTAGCACCATTCAAAGCTTATTATCAGTTGTTCATCTACAAACTGACAGGTCAGGTAAAGCTTTAAAGCAAGTTTTCAGTGCAATGTTTACAGTTCCTTCTTTAAGATACTTGGAGTCTACGGTCTCAAAGCATGTTAAATTATTATGCCTTGGTAGTTGCAAGGTGTTAACATGTAGAGAGAAATGTATAGTGAAAAGAAAAGAGGCTTATCTTGGTTGTGAAATGTATCTTAATGTATTGTGGCTAATGCTGTAGTGTGCTGACGACATGCGGGATTATTATGAACGCAGATCTCGGGGAAGCTGGAGCTATTAGCTCTCTGTGGTCATCATTTCAGGATGTCTCAGCTGCTGTCTTTTGAGACTAACAAGTTTCATCCTGTCTCTGATATGCTCTGCAGTAGAAGCCATGTCACTTGGACTCCCAAAATATTGTTCAGTTCTAAAAAATCAAAACAGAAAAACTCCATTCAGGTTATTACAAATCCACTGACCACATCAAATGCAAAAAGCAGCAAAAATTACTATAAAAATTGTTTCTGTGATATGACAATAGTTCATTTATAGACCATACTGTTTATCTTTGAGTAGTAATTCAGTAGGAGAAACATTTTAAAAATGGCATAAATTATTGTAACATGTTGAGAAAAACATATTAGTGATATAGATGTCATATCATGTGTACTCAGGATAATATCAATAATTCAACAATGCAACCAAGCTATGCAACAATAAACAAAACAATGCAACATTGGAAACACTCCGCTTTTCGATTTTGGGTCCATAGCATACATAAATGTGAAGTCTGTATGTGTACTTCAGTGCTAAGAGCTATGTACACTCATTGTCTAAGATAGCTGGCAAGTGAAATATCCATTTAATTTTAAGGCATCATTTGGGACACTAATAGATAAAATCATTTAATTTTATCCTACCTACAAAGACGCCATATTCAGAGTCACAGAATCTTTTAGAGGTAAAAGAGTTCTTGAGAACTACCCAGTTATGCTCTTCATTTTTTAGATCAGAAAACTATGGTTTAGAAAATTAAGTGACTTAACTAAGACCATACAATGGAAAAACCAAGATTTGCATGTGGGTCTTCAAGTAGTGAATCCAGAAAGACCATTCATTTAAAAAATACTTTTCCAGGAGAATGTTACAAGATAAATCTGAATAATTTTACTATCAAACAAACTTTATGTGACACGAACAGATTATCATATAAAATGGATAACAATTCTAAATATTAAAGGTGGTAGTTGTGAAATCTGAATATACAGTATTAACTTATTCTTTTATCTTAAAAGGATGAGGAAATAACACACAAACTATTTGTGGAACACAGGAGGAAAAGCTCAAACAAAAAACACCAGGGAAAGGTACTCCCAGGCTGACCCAAACAGAACGGAAGACTGACAAGTGGCTGTGAAGCACAGGAACAGGGGCTTGGGATAGGTGGTGGTTTGGAATGGAACAATCAGAAGCAGCACATTAATATTATTACCAGCTAAATTTATAAATGTTAAGATTTATTCTCTTGTATACATTGCAGATGTATAACATGACTTCAGGATAGTTCTGATTGTTCAAATTTATGTATGACTAGAGATTATCTACATATTAGACTATAATAATACTGGTAATCTTTCAAGGGAGTAACGGTCTATCTTCTTAATATTGATTACGAATAATCATTTGATGTTCATGACACAGCAGTAGTGTCAGATTTATTTTAAGTAATTTATGCACATTTTCCTCATAGAATTACCCTGCCCTTATAGCCTAAGGAGGTATGAATCCTATTTTTAGATGAGAAAATTGAGGCACAGGAAAGGTCAAGTGGCTTAACACCAACTACGTGGCAGTGCTGAGATTTTAAGCCAAGACATCTGGTTAGAATCCACAATCCTAACCATTACAATATACTAAAATATAAGGAGAGATGTATTCAATGGTGTGGTTTCCGTATTGCTTGAATTAAATAGCCTCTGGATTACCTCCAAATCATTTTCATTAAGAAGGTCTAGAGATCCTCAGGGATAAAGCTCCTTCTGATTCATTTACTGGCCAATTTTTTATTTCCACAAGTTTCATATTTTTATCATTGACCATTTGAAATAAAAAGAAACATGAGAATCAGAAGCTAATCATTTTACAAATGAAGGAATTGGGACTCCACATAGCACAGTGAAAAGAGATGGGTTTGGAGCCAGAAAGATCTGAAACTGTATCTGAATTCCCCTTGGAGGCTGTGAAATCCTGGGCACCTTACTTGATCTTTTTGAGCCTCAGTTTCTACATCTGTAAATCAGAAATAATCATACTGTCCTGGCACTGTCTGGTCAAAAGCAATAGAGACGAAGTGTTTAACTCAGTGCAGGGAACATACTGAGCTCACTAAACGTTAGTCCCCACACTTCCCTGAATGACGCCCAAAGTCACCCTACTCCTATCCTCAGAGCCAAGGCCAGAACCAACCCACAAATGTCAACCCAGTCAATGATCTTTCTTCTACAACAAGTTGACAAAAAGCAACACATTTGAGGACAGCAAGTATCAAGTACTACTGATGCTAAGAGGCGAGTTTGGATTTCTTTTCATTTTAAACCAGTTTATTGCAGGAATTGAAAATGTGGACCAATACTAATTGACTTGGCTTTTTAAACAAATAGATTTTCCTCTCTTGATGATTTCACTGATAAAAAGACCTCACTGGTAAAAAGACATAATTATAAGACCATGCACCATACCCATCAGGATAAACTACAGGAACAGTTAATCTATCCAAAAGTGATTTCCCAACTGCTTCAATTTCATCAAATTGCTCCTCATCATTAATAGCTTCAGGCTCTTCTGGACAGTCTTGCAAAATCTGCAACAAAACAGCAACATCAAGAGACAGAGAAAGGAAATAAAGCCCATGCAATTTAGTATTTAGAAGGTGTTTATATTTTTTTAATTTTAGCATTTTCATGTATACCACTGAACATGATTGATCCATTATTGGCAAAACTGGTGCAAGAAATTCAAACAAAATGAAATATATAATCCCTACTAGTATATAATTGGAGTATGAAAAGGTCTACAGTGATTCCCAAAGAAAAAAAATAATATAAGACAACTATTTGGAAAGGAAGCTCAAATTGTACTTAAGGAATATTCTTCCATTCACTAAGTAACTATTTATTGAACATTTATTACTGTTTATTTAGTGCTTGGGATGTAAATGAGATATAAACTTTGATTTCCAGGTATTTATATAAATATAAAACAACATATACCCCAAGTACAAGCACATAGCTGATGTGATGACCTAGTTACACGCTTTAGAGTTAACCTACTGACTTAAGTGATGTAAAGTGATATGGTTATAATTTAAATATAGGGAAGTATTACAGCCCTTGATATTATTTTTTTCCCTTAACTATTACCATTTAAATTAAACTATAAAGCAAACAAACAAAAAAACTCTGCAAAATTTGGGAGAAGAAAAAAGTACTAATTTTTGTAATTTTTTTTTTACACAATATACTTTAACCCAACCATATTTATTTCAATATTATAGAACATTTTTATGTTCTAAAATTCTAGATTCAATTTAAATATTTTTCCCAATCATACTACACAATTTGCTTATAGTTGTTATATTCACACTTACTGGTATAAAATAGAACACAGTCAAGAAAGTAAAATCTGATAACAGAAGGTTTTACCATAGGTTTGAAGAGCAAAATAACTTTAAGTCAAGTTTATTGTAAACATGATAAAGGCCATGGAGTAGAAAGAATAGAAATGCTAATTTTCTATTAAAAAACTGCCAACCCTACATATTCTTATATGACCTCTTAAAGTGGACTAGATTTTAAAGTACCCTTCCTGACACCTTTAAAATGCAGTATCCTGAAAGTTTTCAGTAGTATTAGAAATAGGGCCAGCGGTCACGCTTGGACAAGAGGGAGGGGCAGCAGAAGCAGCGTGGCAAAAGGGACCGGGGAGCCTCTCAGATGCTGGTAATCTTCTGTTGTTCAAATAGTGCACTGATTACAAAGGCGTGTTTGCTTTGTTAAAATTGAGCAGAGCACTTATGATCTCTAACCTGTTAATATTATACGTTGATAAAAAGTTTTCATTTAAATAATCAGGAGATGAACAAGTTAAACCATTTTGCATATTTTTATTATCATTAGGCCCACTTTAAACCAAAAAACTGACCTGTGGAGTTCAGGGACCAGCTCAGAAAGTTTACTATGAACATTGCCCAACAAATGTACTTCATAACACAGATATAAATTGCTTAATTCCTGAGGTTTCTCGCAACATCTCTTCTGTTCTACAGACAAGGCTATCACATTTACAACTTAGGTTTCTCATACCTTAGATTGTACTAAAGAGCTCCTACACATAAACTTTCATTTTAAGGGATCAAAACAAAGTTAACTACAGAAAAAGCCTCTCTTCAGAATGGAAATGCAAAGCTCAGGTGCTATAAATTTTCACTATGCTGAGTTTAAAAAAAGAAAAAAGTTCTATTGAAAATTGCCGAGGAACACTGCATATTCATTTCTGGTTTCTGGGACTAAATAATTAAATAGGAAATTTTAGAATTACTCTTTAAAAGATAATGCATGAAAAATGGTTTTCATTTTTATCCTTATTCTCATTTTAGTTGGACAGACTCTATTTTAAACAGTAAAAAATTTGAAAGTGTCCTTTTAAAATAATTTATGACAATTTATGGCAGTTACCAAAGCAGTTCCCTTTTCTGGAATAATGAATCTAATGACCTCTTCAGGAGGTCATGACATCCTGAAGGATGGATGGCACGTTCTGGGCAGCAGGTCTGGTGAGGAGAGAAGCATGTAGACGGAGGGCTGCCGCATGGTTTTGAACTTCTTCAACCATGATACTCCACCACTGCTATCAATTACTAAGAGAATTTGATTTGAACTCTCTAAGACAATGTACCTAAACGCACTTTAAACAACAGAATATGCATTTTTAAAAAAACAGACTAACCACGTAATTAAGTTATTAAAATTAACACCTCCTAAATATACACAATAAATAATATTGTAACCACATTTTTAAAAACAGCAAACCTTTTCAGCATTTGAGTGAAATGCAACGGCCATTTCCAGCCTATGTACTCTCTCTTCAGATGCTATTGTAAACTGTTTCCATACTCTGTTCAGTCGAGGAAGTGTATCCCCAGATGATCGAGAAGTGCAGCGCAGAGACTGGCACAACACAACTGTGGCCTGTAGCAACTGTCTTCCATAGTCGTAAGTACTCTTAAAAAAAAAAGAAAAAGAAAAAAAGTAAATATGAAATTATAATAAAAGAATTCTGAAAAGAGAGATGGCAAAGTACGCAGGAGGACTCTGGTTGTGATTAAGTGACACTACGGGAAATCAATACCGAATGACGCCACTGGCACTTATTACTGCCAATTGTCTGTTGGCATGCACAAATACTGAAGGGGAAGCACTTCTTCAGTTAGTTTCCAGTAAGTTTCGTTCTTATTGTTTCCCCCATCCCAGTCTGCTCAGCTCCACGAGCCAAAAACAGTATCTGTTCAGTCATTAATTGAGACAAGTGGGTTGAAAATAGGCACTTCATATTCCATATAGGAAACCACAACTGTTACACTGTGAACTCAATTATTAGAGAAATTAATTACGATACTTTCCACAACAACAACAACAAAATCTGTGTTGTTATGCTAACGATGATGAGATGCAGAAACTGGGGTTTCCGATTTACTGATATTAACATATATTTTATGTTAACTTTCATGAACAGTTAGATTGTCTTAAAAAATGCTGTAATACGTAATATAAATCACAGGGAGCATAAAGAACCTGTATTCAGGGAAAATAAACCCTCTCAAGTTTATGCAGGCTAGTTCTGATGCATCAGCTGACATTTTCTTAGTTCTGTGATATTTCTGGAATAACATAACTAACCTTCTTGGACTTGGAGGGTTAAGTTACATTATAATCATGCAGAAAGCTATTCAAACACTGAGCTTGTAGAAAAGGAAGATAATCAGTTCTGCACCTGTGCAACATCAACAAATTTTCTATGCTTTTCCAGTAAAACTTTCGTTTCCTGAGCATCATCGCCCAATCTGATGTGGGTCTTAAGCAGAGCATCCAGAAGTTCACTTAGCCATTCTACTGCCTAAACGAAAAGAAACAACAGTGAGGCTGGATTCATAAGGCTTTACTTATTATATCAAAATATCATATTTATAAAAAGACCATGTCATGTGATTAATTAATCTATTAGTTATAACTTAAGTTCCTAATAGCTTATTTCAATCAACGATAAGCTACAGGAATTAATGACCTATTCTCCTACTCAATATTTTTAAAAATCTAAAGATAAGACCTATTAAAGAGAAGCAGTCTTTTAAAATTATTATCACATGACTTACAATAGAAGCTCATTTGCTTATGTAATATAGATCTTATTGGACTCTCATTATAGATTTGTTACCATTTAAAGTCATAAATCTCCTCTAGATCAAGCTGAAATGATGTTCTCTCATGCTAACTACAAAAAGATAGCAAATTGTTTACCTAGTTGAAAAATATTCTCGAGGGTTAAAAAGCAATGTGCTATCCAGCCCTTATCCTGGGATATAAATGATAAGTCAACAATAATAAATAGTAAATAACCCCAATTTCTAGCTCAGTAGATGATTTCATGAAGAAGGTAAATCAAATGAGACCAGTGAGATAACCGGGAATACAAAACTTTATTTCAACAGTATAAACTAGAATCTGACTCAATTTTACTTTCTTAGGACCATGAAAAGTATACTTTGTTTATAGTTAGGTGAAATCAATCTTCTAAGAAAAATCAACTACATAATGTGCCAGATTGGTCCTTACCTGGGCAGCATCTTCCTCACATTTAAACAACTGCACCATCTGAAGCATCTTTAACCTTCGTACATCTACCATGTCTTCACATCTAAGAAACCCAAACATAAATTTAGAACAGCATTTCAGTTTTGTAGATAACTAAAAAACATTGTTATCTGGCACACATTTTATGGTATATTAAAATATTTAGTCCAACACTACGGATGGAGATTGTAGCTATTTTGCATTGATTTGTAAGAATTTTAGGGATATCTATATCTATGTCACATCGAAACTTCAAAATACCTGAATGATACTGAAGCACAAACTCTCTTGAGAATCACACGGATTCTGCAAAGTACTGAAGCAAAGCATAAATGCAAGCAGCACACTAAAACCCAAAGATCGCCATTGCCAATTATTGCTAAACCAGCTTCAAAGATAAAAATGCAAAGTTTCTCGAATACTAATTTAGAAGATGATGTTCAAGGAAATAAAAAAAAAATACTTTTCATTACATTACTCAGAGTAATATCTAATTTTGAATAAAAGAAACACAGAAACTCCACCTACGTCCTTAAGAAGAAACAATCGGTTGCTCTCTGGGTGTACAGAAATACAATATAGAGTGTTTTTAAATTTCTATGGTCTGCCTGGATATAGACAGGCTAAACTTTTAAGGTGACTTGACTTAACTCACCCATTCCCTTCATCCCCCTGCAACTCTATCATGTACTTTAGAGGGGAAGTAAAAATCTCACTGCAATCCCCAATACCAATAACAAGTTTACCAGGACGCACTGGACTCCACTATAATTGATCTTCTCAAAGAAGGCTTAATAACAATACAGACGTCATTTGTCATAAGGCTATTTTTATAAGGATGCCCTCAATAAAATCCCATTGCATATTTTTAAAATGCAACTCGGTTAAAGTAATTCTACAAGAGAGTGAAGGGAGGTGACAATAATAATTATTTCTAAAATATGAGGCTTAAAAACAATGTAAGGGACTTTAATGATAAAGATGAAATCATCCATGTATGCAGCACATTGTCATGTACTGAGCAATGTACTTAGAAAAAAATAAGACATGGTCTCTAAGATGGTCCATTTTGGGAGATGGATGTTTAAATAAACAATGTGATAAATGTTAATGTAGAGGTGTGTAAAGGATTTATGGGAGTAACGAGGAACACGTGACTAAGTTGCCTTAGAAATCTAAAAAGGCTTCCAAGGATAAGAATCCCTGAGTCTCGAAGAAAAGAAGAAACCCAGTAGACAGAAAATGAAGAAGGAAGCAGTTTAAGTCAGGAACACATCAAACAGCATGATGGATTCAGGAAAATGAAAACAACTGTATGGTTTTGGGGTAAGTTACAGGAGATGGATCTGCAGGATTGGATTACGGTTTCCTACACTCTTCCAAGGAGACAAGAACTTCATCTGAGAAACAGGAAGTCAACTGAGAGAGGTTCTATACAAAGAAATTGTGTAATTAGATGTGCTCTTGTGTATAAGAGATTAGAGAGGAACAATACCAGATGTAGATAGATAAATATTGAATAAAGAAATGTTCAGGATAACACAAGGGCAGAACTTTGACATTTGACAACTATTTATAGGGATGAGGAAGCATAAGGATTTTAGGATAAATCCCAAGTTGATTCAAGCTGCTGGTAACTTGAACCTAGACAGGAAATTAGAGGAGAAGGGCAAGTTTTAGGGGAGAATGATTCCAATCTGGACACATTGGTCTGATGAGTACATGGGCATCCAGGTGGAGATACTCAGTAGGCAAGTGGAATTATGGGTCCAGGCCCAGGAGAGGAGTTTGTGTCAGAGCCATAACTACTCAATCATGATCATATTAAAGACAGTCATTAAAGAAATGAGACTTCCCAGGGAGAACACAAACTGAGAAGAAAATCTGGCTTCAGAACAATCCCTAGAGGTAGTGACATCGGCTAGAGGACAAAGAAACAGTGAAAACCGAGAAGAAACAGAGTGCCAGAAGGAGAACCATGAGGATGTTTACAAAGAAGACATGGTTGTCAGGGAGTTTCAAGAAGGAAAAAATTCAGTTGTGTCTAAGGCAATTTAGAGTGATCAGGCAAGATCAGGACTAAAAGTATTCCTGGATTTTGAGCAATCAAGTGTTTATATTACATGTCGCAGTTACTAAGTCATTGGACACATCAGCAAGAGCAAATTCAGTAAAGGTGAGAGTGGAGATACTACATCTAAAACAAGTGTTACCAGGCTGAGGAGGTTTGAAAAGTAAATTGAAGTGAGGAACTAGTATCACTGTAGATAAGACCTTCAAATGACTTAACTGTCAGGAATGAGAGCTCTTGGGCTAGAAGAAAAATAATTGAAAAGGAATGTGTATGTATGTAATTGTTTAGTTTTTTTTTGAAAAATAGGATTTAAGCATTTAAATGAGGGACAGGGATCAGAGTAGAGAATGGGAGTTAATGGAGTGAGGAGACATGAGGGTATACGGAAGGACTGACTTTGACAAGAGCAAAGCTGTATCACCTTTTGTGATGAGAATGAATAGTGAAACAGTTGTTTGCAGATATGAGGGTAGAAGGAACTTCAGCCTATTTTCTCTGTGATGTAGGGGGAATGTTTCTGTCGGTTTTATAAATGGCTTTAAACTTTCTAAGTGTACACAAAAATTTCATACGAGTATGTATGCTAGACTGTGTGTATGTGCATAGATTAATTTAATCCATCACTTTGCAATACAGCCAGCCCTCTGTACCTGTGGGTTCCGCATCCATGGATTCAACCAACCATAGATCAAAAGTATTTAGAAAAAAAGTTATGTAGTTCCTGATGTGTACTTGTAGTAAATATTATAGTGATTTATTAGGAATGAAGGAACTATTTCAGTGCCTTCACTCAATGACTTTTATGGAGTTCTCTTAAATGGAAAAGTATTTGACATTTTTTGACAGATTCAGAAAAAATAGAGAAGAGTGTAAGGTACATAGAGTTTAACACTGAAAATATTCACCAAAAATATTTTATGCTGTTGCTGACGTGTACTATATGGTTAGGCCTACGACAGGTGCATCTGTACTGAACATGTACAGACTTTTTCCTTGTTATTATTCCCTAATAATAGAGGGTAACAACTGTTTACATAGCATTTACATTGTATTAGGTATTATATATAATCTAGAGATGATTTAAAGTATACAGGAGGATGTGCATAGGTGGTATGAAAATACAATACCATTTTATATAAGGGACTTGAGCATCCATGAATTTTCATCTGCAGGGTCCTGGAACCAATCCCTGCAGGATGCAGTGGGACAACCATAGTTTGCAGTTGCTATTGCAAATTGAGTTTTCAAAGAATCCTTTAAATTCGTGGTTCTTTATCAAATGAAACTAAACATCATTTTACCCTTCCTTACCCATCTTTCCCATCATCTTACTCTAATAAACATTTGTCTCTACTCAAATCCTTCTACAGCAAATACGAGAACAATGGATGTCTAACAATTTGTTAGTAAGAACTTTAGATGAAGAAACAGATCAATGTGGATGACAGATAACACCAACTAAACCAAAGAAAAACTGAAAAGCAAAATTCTTCCAAAAGAGTTTTCTTAAAGGACAGGAGAATCAGAGGCTACGCTGGGGATAGGAATGCAAAGTACTTGAAAGTAACTGAAATTTTTACTATTGAATAAAAGGGAAAAAGTGCCCATTCATTAACTGAACAAACTGTCATTATTTGTTAGTACAATTATACACAGTAATTAGTACATTTACCAAAAACTTACTACACATCTACTATATAACAGATAAAAGCTTTCAGTTTGAAAAAATATAAATTATATATGATTTTTCATTTTAGTTAATATTACATTGTCTTAGCAAAAATACAATTAACAGTCAAACTTTGCCTTTGTTTTCTAAGCTGCATATCTTCCATCACTCCTTGAATGTGGTCCACATTTTCTTTATTTTCGATGGTTACATCCTTTCCATAGGCCCAGGATGCCTGATTGGAGATCTGGTCCAACAGACCTTGACCTTTTTCACGCAAACCTTGCAATCCTACATCTAAAACAAAAGTTACTAGATTTAATCTCTTAAACAACAGAAGTGTTTTCCCTCTAAATAAGCCCTCTCAGCAGATACTGTACTTGGATTCCAAGTATAATAGTTTTGTACATTAAACTATCTTGGAATGGAGTCCTCTGAACATTTTGAGCAATGAACTCCCTTTAAATGTGACTCAAATTATGTTCTCCTCCCAATGCCAAATTCTCCTTAAAGAGAATTTTGATGGGGTAAATTTCCATAGATAATAATTAGCTTTTAAAACTGAAAGCAGGAAAGAAGTGAGAGAATTTCTATTTTAATGAGTAAGAGTTTTCCATTTTATTTTCTTTTATGCAGTCCAAGTTTAAGGAGAACAAGGCAAATATTTAATTCCAAAAAAGGTAGGAGTTGCAAGACTTCAAATCACTCAAGCAACATGAAGGGATGCTGAACATTTTGAACACAGGCACTATTTAGTTTATATCCAACAAGAAGCAACACTTAGAATGTTAGCAATACTGCAAATTAGAGAAATATACAGGACTTTTTTCCTTTTTTAAAGAAAAAATGTGGCTCAAGAAAACTGATGTTTTCAAATAAATTCCACTTGGCATATTAAGTACTAAATATGTATATCATGCATATCTGTTAAAATAACAAGGACTCCAAGCACGTACAATATCAATACAAACATGATTTTTCAAAACCTTTTCAATAATTAATTAATCTAGTCCAATCATGTTACCACTTTCTACTAAACCTCTGCCTTAGGTTTCTGCTTCTTCTCCTATATTTGCCTTTGTCTTCCTGTCCCACTCAATCCACCCCTACTTCCCATTTTTATATCCACTGTCTGCCTCTCCAGTAATGACCTAAGGAAAGTCACTGTATTTACCACTATACTAAATGTTAAAGGCCTTGATGTCAAGTGAGAGAGCTTAATGAAATTGGACCATTCTCCCCTTAGAGAATATGTAATCTTGGTAATATTTCCAGTTTGGAGAAACAAATGCACAGAATCAAACCAACTATTTTTTTCACAAGGTTAGGATATATCAACAACAAAAATCATTGCATAAAACACAGTTTTGAGCATACAGTGTTTACCACAGAACACTTGACAGCTAATTACAGCTTATGCATGCACTACAAATAACTGTTCATAGTATATGTAAGACATAGCACCTGTAAATATAGCTAGGTAAATAAGAAAGGCTAAAGGTCCAGTGAAGGAAGAGTGACCAATTATGCTCTTCAAGGGAAAAAAACCTTTTATACTAATTTTTCCTGTGTTTCCTGTAAATAATTATGAGTTCAATATATATGACTTGTCTAACCATGGTTAATATAGTTTTTAAAATAACCCTATGTTTCAGCATTTTTGAAATCTGCTTACCAACACTTTTCAGCTTCTCTTCAAGCAGTTTTAAAGTTTGCTGAATCGATGCTCCATCAGCTGGTGCTACATCTACGCACAACATCCCTAATAAGCCATCCAACTGCTGAGACAACTAAAGCAGAGGGACACCAAAGAGATAACCCTGATGTAATCAGCATCTAAAATGTTTAATGATTAATGAGGTTTATATCTAATGAAGTTATCACAATTATACTTGAAATAGACTATGCTGTTAAAAGACAAGAACGAATAGTTAGAATACATGTTATCTGAAAGAGCACAGAGATGCATGCACCAGAATGACAAAGAAATATATTCAGGTCAGCAGAATGTATAAAAGTAATGAAATTTCTATTTCATTCTGTTATAAAGCAAAAACACCGAGAAACCATCAAAATAAAAATATATACTAGTTGGGACACTCTATGTAGACAAAAAACATTTAGTTGCATGCAGATTGACTTAAAAATTAAAAAAAAAAAAAAAGAACAAATCAAAGATTTTTATCTCATTTCCCCCTCCAGGACATTATTTTACTGTCCCAGAAAAATAATTAGGAGACATGCAAACCTGCAAAAATTATGTGCCGATAAGTGTTCAGGTAATTTCAAGAAAAGAAAAGCAATCAGAGAAGACACTTACATCTTGGGCAACCCCATGAAATTCAAGAGCTGCTTGTAAAAGATTTTGCCTAAATTCTAGCTGACTGGCCTGTCGATAACAAACATCACTAAGTTGTTGCTGCAGGGACTTCAGTTCCACAAGATCTTCCTCATCCCCAGCATTTAAGAGTGCTGCAATTTGCTGATTAAGCTCCACATATACTGCAAACCATTCCTATAATAGAGACATTGTAAAGTAAATTAAAGATAAAATTAGTTTCTGGAGAACTACAGTACATTTCCTAATTTCTCCAGCTACACTAACTGATATAAAAAAGAATTTTCTTAGGCAAAATTATTCAAATTGAGATGAAAAGTCTCTAACCCCCAAATCCTTCCATTGCAACCCCTGAAACTCCTGCCAGGAGCAAAATCTCCTACAGCCTCATCCAGGCCTTTAAATGTTCCCTTCTCTCTCTTGCTTTAAGTTGAACCTGCCCACCCTCAGAAAAGCAGTTAGCCCTGTGCTGTCTTCATTTTCACAGCTGACATCCCCCAAGCCTCAGATGAGGGGGTAGCTACCTCAGTTCTTGTAACTACTTTCAGACCATTTCTTCTCTCTCTTCTCTCAAAAACCACATCTCATTTGAAGTGCATGCTGTCAGATTACATCTTCCCAAGCTTTCCTGTGGCATGCCCTCATCCAGGGAGTTTAGCAAAGGTCAGTGCCTTCCTCTCAGCATCAGCCTTCTTACCGATTTCCACCATGTAGACATCTACCCAGCACTGAACCCTCAGTTCCTTGACTCCCTCCCTCGTTTCCAACTATCCTGTCCTCATCTAACCTCAGCTACTCATTCCAATGGACATAAAATCCTGTTGTTCTATAACAGCTCACAAAATCTCAATTTCAAGAATCCCATTCTCTGACCACCACCTACTGGCTCTCCAATTCACCTCAGCATCTTTTACTGTTTGGTGCTCAGGAGCCCTTTGTCCTTACTTCTATCTTTGATCAGAGGGCTCTCCTTCCTTCCAACAAATTCACCTGTAAAACCTCAGACCTGCTTTCTTTGCCTACTGTTCCTACACAAACCGCTAAATATGGTTGTTCATGATTATCTTTTAAAAATTACTACTAGACCTGACTGGCATGGCTCAGTTGGTTGAGCATCATCTCACAAAGCAAAAGGTCGCTAGTTCAATTCCCAGTAATGGCTCACGTCTGGGTTGCAGGCCCAGTCCCTGGTTGGGGCACGTAACCCATTGATGTTTCTCCATCACATCAATGTTTCCCTCCCTCTCTTCCCCCTTTTCTAAAAATAAATAAATAAATAAATAAATAAAACCATTTTGGAAAAGTTACTACTAAATAGGGCATTAACAATCCTATTACATTTCTCCAGTCAATTCACTTTCCCATTCTCATGATTGCTTTTTTAAAAAGTTCCTTAAATCTCCAACTTCCTTTCCACCTCTTAACTCTCAACCAGAAATCTAACTTCTTAATTCACTAGGAAGCAATCAGATGAAACTCATTTCACCAACAAATCTATGACCTTCTCTGCTTCTGTAGCCATATGCTTTGCCCTTCCTACTGTAATAACAAATGAACAGTCCCAGCTTCTAAAGGCCAACCACTTTGCTTGTGTGTTATATGCTATCCTCTGTTGCCTATACAAGACTTTGCTATTGTTATTAATTCTCTTCTCTCCTTTTCCCATCATCAAGTTTTCTTTTTCAATTGCATTATTTCCATCAGCACACGAATAATACAAGTATCTTATATTAAAAAACAAAATACACAAGATATATGCGATTTACTATATATAAATTAAACCTTCATTAAAACCCCTACAAAGTCCCCTTAAAGGAGTTCTCTATACCCATTCCATCATTTCTATTCTCTTTCTAATTGTGGTTCCCACTCTTGTGAAACCACTTCTGTTGAATTCTGAGTCTGTGTTATTGGATTCCTCAAGCTGCACTTGACAAAGATGAACAATTCCTCCTCCTCAGACTGCCCTTTTCTCTTGTTTCCTGAGATACACAACCGCTTTTGGCCTCCCTGCTGGCTCCCCTTCCTCTTCTTGCCCTCTAAGTTGAGGAGTGGCCCAGGGTTAAGATTTCCAAAGGCTTTTTGTGTCTAAATCAATATACTCACTGGGAATGGATGATTACATCTAGCCCCATATTTTTAAATAACATATATAGGCTTATAACTCCCAAATAAATATCCTCAACACTAAATGATTACCCGACTGTCTACAAGCTATCTTCATTTAGATGACTCTTAGATATCTAAAATTTAACATGTCCCCAAAGAAACTGATTTTCTAGCCTCCCAACCTGCTTCTCTTCCAGGCTTCCCCCTCTTAATATTAGCTCCTAAGGCCAAACCTCTGATTATTCTTACAAGAGCAAGTCTTGCTGGCTTAACCCATGAATCTGACAACCTGGCATTACTTCTACTGCTTCCATTCTATTAGCCTCCTTTCTTCCTATTTTGTTGTTAGTCCCCAGTGTCTATTCTCCATATAATAGCCAGTGATCTTTAAAAAACATTAATCAATTCTCAGCTAATAAATTTATTTTTAGCTTCATTTCTCTTTTTTCCTATTTTTTTAGATTTTATTTATTTATTTTGGGGAGATAGGAAGAGGGGAAGAGAGAGAGGGAGAGAAGCATTGATGGGTGAGAGATACATCGACCGGTTGCCTCTCACATGCCTGTAACTGGGGACCTGGCCTGCAACCCAGGCATCTGCCCTGACCGGGAGTTGAACCAGCGACCCTTTGGTTCACAGGCTGGCACTCAATCCACTGAGCCACACCAACCAGGGCTAGCTTCATTTCTTAATTATGCTTTTAGGGAGAATCTAAAACTTAGTACTTGTCTAAGTGTTTTTAATACAAAATGGTATATTAAAAGTGTCTCTAAATTCTACTCCTTTTAACCAATCAATATACTAGAAATTTGTCATAATTTCATAAAACCTGAACAATTCCAATACATGTTTTAAAGTGTTGACTTCCATATACAAAGAGAAAGAACAGCTTTTCATAAAATATTAGAGTATCTTAAACAGCATAAACTAATATATTCATCTTGTATCAACCTATTCTAAGGTGACAATGTAGTGCCATCTATTGGTTAAAATGGTTCAATTTTTTTTTTTTTTTTTTTGGTAAACTTTTAGAATGAAAAATTTCAAATCTATTCAAAAGTGCGAAGAACAGCACAGTTGACCCTTCCCGACACAGGTTTGAATTGGATGTGTCCACTTGACTTGTACATGGGGTTTTTCTCAATACTGTAAATGTATTTTTTCAATAACATTTTCTTTTCTCTAGCTTATTTTATTATAATACAATATATAATACACATATAAAATATGTTAATCAACTGTTTATGTTATTGGTAAGGCTTCCAGTCAACAGCAGACTATTAGTAAATTTTAGGAGAGTCAAAATTGTATATGGATTTTTGACAGTGATGGAGGAGAGGGGTTTTGTATCCCTAAGTCCCTCGTTTTTCACAGGTGACCTCTACAATGAAATCCCATGTACCATCCATCTTCAGTAATTATCAACTCATGGCCAATCCTGTTTCATCGGTCTTATCCAATCTGTTCCATCTCCTAATTTGGAAACAAATTCCAGGTATTACCTCAAGCAATGAGATCCATAATAAGCCATCAATGTTTCTTTTCTTTGGGCACCATGGAATGCAGATGCCAATGTATGGGCATATGTCCTCAACATATTAAGGGCAGAAGAATAAAAAAAAAGCTACATCTTAAGCAAGTCCATGAAATACAAGCTTCTCTGCGAGGGAGGGATAGAGATGGGGTGGGGAGAGGGAGAAAGGATCTCATCTGAACATTAAGAGACTGATGTTTTAACCTTAGTCTAGCTATCCACTGATCAAAAAGTGAAATCTCACAGTTTCTTTGTGTATTAAATAAGGTGATTGGTATTAAAATAATGTATAAGATCTTTTTCAATTCAAAAGTTCTAAAATTTATTACTGATTTGCATTAGCAGTAAACTTAAGCACACGGAAAGGGCCACCCATAAGTAATTTGTTTCTTTAAATTGATTTTAAAACCTTATAAATATAATACAAATACAAAAACAAGGATCCAAAAACAAGCATCTAAACAGAGGAATCTCTATGTATACCATTTGTACGTTCATCCATACTATATGCAATGTAAAAATGTACTTTTCAATATATAGTTTTTGTGTATATAGTTTTCTTCTTTATAACATGTATGTAATCCAATTCTGTGAACTTCTTTATGATATAATCTAATTTGTAACTACATTTATTCTCCTTGGCAGCTTTTAAAATATAAAATATAGATAAATCCTATCTTTAGGATACTCATGTGTCATGTATCCATATTTAAAAAACTTCTAGATACTTTTATAACTTCATCCTCTACATGAAGTCAACAATGTTCTACAGCAAATAATATTTTCAAGAATTAAAAAAGAGGACAAACCAACGAATATAGTTATTCTATGGTAACATGTTCCAGAACAATCCACAAGGCTCAAAGAAATCACAGTCTATGGCAAGAATATCAACAGCATTACATTATTTAAAATGTACCAAGAGAATTTAAAGATTATAACCTCAGGAACAGAAGCTATAAATTCAAATTATTCAATATTTTCTAAGGATAAAAGAAAAAAGCCATTATGTTGGAACCTGTGAAATATGAGAAATATGTAGATTTTTCAATTACAGAATTTCATATTTAAATCTATTACAAGAACTAATTAGGAAAAGTGCAAAAACAATATATTCACTATCTTCAATAAATATATAATAAAGATTTTAGTAAATATATAGCAAATGTATAGTAAATATTTAGTAAATACTATCCACATCTTGTGATACCACTTGCTTACATATTATTCCCTCAGCTAGATTACAATTCCTGTAGGGTACAGTTTGTATCTTACCTGTCAATATACCTCATCATTAAAGTTGATTTGGGAAACAAAGAAATAATATAAGGAAACTAAACAGAGGATAATTATTTCAGATATTTTTAAAATGCATCTCTAATAAAGAGCAAATGATTCTTGGTCAACAAATCAAATTTATTCTTGAGAAAAGCATAGTCAATATTTATTCTTTAATCTCATTTAAATATTCATTTACTTATACTATCCACCTTTCTAATCATCACTTCCACTAGGAAAGTTGAAGGGGAAAGAATTAGAAAAATATAGTGTTCAAATGACCCTTAAATCTTACCTGGGCCCAGAGTTTAACATTACTATTGATAAATTTTTTTATACTGTTCTCCACTGTTGTGCATTTAGATCCTAAAGGTCAAGATGTCTATTATATTCACCCTTGAACACGTCCCCTCCCCAAGCTCAATTAATACATAAATCCAATTAGAGTATATTCTGATCACTTGGAGTTTCATTTGAAGGTGGACTGACTTCTTTTATTACCTATTTATGAAGAAATGTTTTATTACTCATTATGTGTAAGGCTGAATACTGTACATGTGTCTGTAACTTCAACTTTTTTAAGATATGCAATCTAACAGAAATGAATGAATTTGAGTTTTATTTTTCCAATTTTCAAGGACATAATTGATCCATAAATTGGATAATCATTTCCTCAATAATGAAGAGTTAACTATAATACTGCATAAGCTTAGCATATATCAGTTTCCTCCATGTAACAAGACCTTAAATTTTAAACCCTCTTGAACAATTACCTATAATCTGCCTACAGAATTTACTTCACCATTTCATAACTACTACTTTGTATCTCCTTCACAATTACAAATGTAAAGCCTCAAATGCATAAAGTATGAACACATATCTTGCACCCTATGCACTCACTCTCCATCAGTTATGATTAATGCAACAATTCTGGAATTAACTCTCAGGCATTTAATTGTACTATACATCCCCCAAAAGCAGGGACAGGTTTCCCTCTGATGACTTAAGAATCAACAGTTTCTGTCTCAGGGACTACAGATACAAAGTCCTATTTTTGTACTATCACTCTTCTGTCACTATAGTTTTTAAAATTTCACATGAATTGTTATTTATAAAAATATGTTATTTAAATATACTGGAGATAAATCCAAAGCCGAACTTCAATGAATATGTATCTAGTGATCAATATGGTAATATTTTGCCATGTATAATGTGTACTTTTTTCCAAATTTTTGAGGGAAAAATAGATGCGTGTTACACATGGGCAAAATACAAGTACTTTACATTAAACATTAAACATACTGTATGTTAAGTTTATAGCAACTTAGCACCACACATGCTATTAATTATGCACATTAGGAACAGCATTGTAATTTGCAGAGGAAAAAAAGCCCTCACACTGTGCTGGCTCTCAATCTCTTCGTGCTTCTGCTGCAGGGCTTGGGAAGCCCGAATGGAATCTCCAATCCCCCACTGGGCTCTTAGTTGTTCTGATCCAGGTCCTTCCAGCCAGTTCACCACCTATAAGTGGAAGTCGAGATGAAATTTTAAAATAAGCAAAGCTTTTCAAACTTCCATTCTGATTGGTTTTCCTTCCCAAAGTTCCTCAAGTATTTTTCACTTAAATTCTTTACATTCTATTGCATGGGCAGTAAATATTATTTTAGAACTATGCAGCTATAATGTGACAACTTAACCAAAACCTAAGTTTGAAGGAATGTATGTTCCAGAACCTTAGGCTTTCAGCTCTCTGATCATCTGCTACAAAAAAATAAAATTAAAAATTAACTTACAAAAGAAAATTAAAAAACTATAGAATTTAGAGTTAGAAATGACATTGGTCAAATTTCTTTAGAGTTAGAAATGACATTGGTCAAATTGGTCAAATCTAACCCTTAGGAAAACTCTTAGTATTAGAGATTAAGTGACTTGCCCAAAAATAACATAATCCATTATTGAAAAACCAGGCCTAAAAGCCATGTGTCTGTCCTGTCTAGTATTCTTCCCAAGGCATTGATAAATTGAATGAATTAACTAACTATAGTTTAGTTTAGTTATTCTAATAAAGTTAGAATACTACTTTTCTTAATTTGAAAAGAAAATTAAAAACCAGCTAGTAGTAGTAGAATTACATTACTAGTGGTATTCTTATAGTAGAATTATAGTACTGTAATATCCTCTAGGATCAACAAAACATTCAGATCCACAGGATTATTTGAAGTCCAAAAGACACGAATCTACTCAGAAGGATGTAGGGTGGGGACTAGTTTGTCAGAAGAGCAGCACTGGGCATTTCTCTTCTTCTGAGTCCCTGAAGCAGTCCCACAGTTCAGGTATAAAAATGAGATTCATATGGAACAGACATGGGATCATAGCCTCATACCTCACAGTGGTCATGCCTGTTATAAAAGTCAATAAACTCAAACCTGCCCAAAGCCTTCCGTCAAGTATTAATAGTTTTCCCAGTCCAGATCCAGAATATTTTTTACTGTAAACACTGTTGTCTAGTAATATAATTGACATTCCAAATTTTTATCAGGTTTTCTAAAAAACTGAGCTAGATAGTTAAGCAAACATCATATTTCTATGAAGAAAAAAGGGTTTTGTTAACTCTTTATCCACAAACATATATTCTCTGAATCCACATAGACACAATGAAGTAATTTTAATAGAAAAAATAATTTTATTAAGATTTACCTGTTAGTAAATTAGAATAAGGAATTCAACAACCAATGTATGGTTATGTTCCTAAGAAGTGAATGAGGACATCTCTGAAGCATAATATTACATAACCAGGGGATAAACAGGCTTAGCTTAGAAGTTCACAACAGAATATCAGACTCTTAATGCATTTCTCAATGTACTTAAGGCTTAAAGTACATTCATTTTAAAATCTCACAGCTCATGTAATTTTTTATAATTTATCATATAAAAGTGACACACTACAGAAAAAATCGTATGTATTTCCTTCCATTAATTTTTCACATGCATAGAGTTTTCATGTTGCTCCAGATTTAAATGCCACAGCCAATTCTCAAAGAGTACAAGTAATTTCTAGCCTGTGTTTTTCACTTAACATTGAACTATACTATAGTGATTTTCTGTAAGGCTCCAGTTATTATTTTCAATGCTTACAAATCTTTTTTAAGAAGGCTACACTCCTTGTCTGCCTGCCTGCTTTTCTCCCTCCCTCCCCCCCTCCTTCCCATCTGTCCAACCAAGCAAACCATCCATCCTTATTTAAGAGCTAAGTAATATACTACCTCAAATAACTATTATACCTGATTTCAAAACTCCAATTCTCTATTTTTGAGAATGTTCCTAATTTCTACCAATTCTAAGTCACTGCATGATAAATACTATATACATTTTTATATTTAGCTTTATATATAGCATTTTAGTTATTTATAGCATTTTTTCTAATTCTGTATTGTTTTCATTTATTACTATGTAATATAAATATGAATATAGAATCAAATGTAAAATGGCTTTTGTTTTCAACAATATAGTCAATTATTTCACTAGAAATGTCTAAATTCTAAAAATAAGTGTGGAATACATTACTTTTTTAAAATTGAAGACATTATTTAAACATTTAAACTTCGCTTTTAGAATATGCTAGAAACAAAAGAAGGTTACCATAAATCATAATGACTGAGGAAAAACAATTCACTGGCATGTAATTTTCAAAGAGCCATAAATAAAGCAAAGGCATCTTGGTGCAAAAAACCCAGTTATAGTCAAGTGCACATACAGTCTTAATGTATGCTAAAAGTGATTTCCCGTAGGACGCATCATCAGTAAATGTGTAACTATTTCTTATATAAATGATGCCAACTGAGGTTGATGCCTCAGTAAACAAATTTATTTAAATGCATTAATGATAATGGTTTACGAAACCAGGTTATAAAACTTAATTTCAATCAGAACATCGTGCTCACAAAATCTTAACTATTAATTTACTGCAAAAGCAATTCCATGCCCAAACTGTTATCAGTGTAACCTCTCACATGTTTACATTTATATGCAAAGTATAACCTTGAAGATGTGTTCTTAAAATCTACCATGACAAACATCTGCAGAAGCCAAAAATGCACGTGACTATCCACCATTCTTTCGTGACCAGGTAATTTCTAACGAATGCATGAGAGAGTATTTGGAAGTATATGAGGTCACATCAGGCAAATGTCAAACATCTGACCTGGAGAAAGAATATGAGGAAATGGGCACATAGCCTTGAGCTATGTATTTATGCTACTCAGAGTGTATCCTACTTTGCTTCTGTGTTTCCTTTCTACAAACAAGAGAAAGCACTTAAATGATTCCAGAAATAACACTTGCAATGTTGGCAGTAATTACTGCCACAATAAATAACCAAAATCATGAGAGCATATTTCAGTGAAGTGGCATTATCTCCTACCCAGATGCATGTGAAGTCTAATATTTAAATGTAGCAGCAGCAGCCCTGGTCTCAATGGCTCAGTCGGTTGGAGCCATGTCTCAATATGCTAAGTAGTGGGATCGATCCCTGGTCAGGGCACATACAAGAATTAACCAATGAATGCATAAATAAGTGGAACAATAAATCAATGTTTCTTTCTCCCACCCTCTTTCTCTCTGTCTCTAAAATTAATAAATTTGAATAAATAAATGTAGCAGCAGCAGCTTGGAGAATCTCTGCATACCACATGAAGTCTGGTGCTACCAATTTGAACTACGGGAAGTGACTGATAACTCTAATGGGTATTATTTATCACATAGTTTATTTATTAGAACTATTGATTTCTCTATCATTATGTTTTCAGGGGTAAGTCAGTAAAAAAAAGAAATTGAGTGAAATTCAATTTTCACTAATTTAACATATGCGGAGATAGTCAACTTTATGATTATCTTCATATAACCAAAAAATTTTATTCCATTTCCCTCAAATCTGAAGGATTTGAAGACATTATAGCTTTATGTTCTCTGTATGCTGACATGATCAATAAATGTTACTATACAGCTAAATTTAAGTAATCATTTTGGCAAGGGAAAGAGATCTTTCCCTAAAATGTGACAAACAGAGTGCAGGATGAATATTAATGTTCTAACCAATTCACATGTAATGCTCATAACGAAAACTGAATTGTAATGAAATTTGTTTTTAACAATAATCTCATTACCATCATCACCACCATTATAAATATTCTTATCATCTCCCTTCTCTAGTTTATTTCTTCTTTATCCACTTGAGCCAGTCCATCATTTCAATAACACATTTGGCAATACATTAATTGACTTCTTTGCCCCTCCATCTGCTTATCATCCACATAGACCCCAGATAGTAAAGCACAAACGCTGATTGAATTTCATCTCTGCGCTGCACCTCAACACCCAGACACAAACTGGCAGGGTCATACAACAGGCCACACAGGTTCTGCCATAAATTCTCTATCAGCCTACCTAAAACTACAACTATATTTCTGTGGTGATTTCACTCTTCCGATCCCCACAAAGAAAATCTGGAATCATCTCCACCTCATTTAAACCTCTACTCCTCTTCAGCATCACCCTACTACCCTACCTCTAAACCTACACCACCAAGCAGAGGACCTTTGTTTCTTATTTTACAAAAGAAACATCGCACAGGAACTCCACCTTCCTGATGCCTGACTTATACAGGGAAGCACCTCTGGATTCATTTTATCCACGCTTCCTGTTTTACAGTGGGGAGCTCTTCCTCTTTCATTCTAAAGCTAATCTCTTTAACTGTGCTTTGGAGTCCATTCACTTCCACCTTGTCAGGAACTTGACAGTATTAATTACTCTTTCTTTTTTGTATACTGAACCCCTCCCTCCAAATAGATACACACCACTAAGCTTTAAAGCTCTTACAGTTTTTCATATTATTAAAAAAAATAAAAACACTACACTTGACACCTGTTGTGGGCTGAACTGTGCCCCCAACCCAATTCTAACCCTTAGTACTTCAGAATGTAACAATATTTATTTAAAGGTGGATCCTTGAAAGAGGCATTTCAATTAAAATGAGGTTATTCGGGAGGCCCTATTCTAATGACCAGTGTCCTTAAAAGGAGAGACAATTTGGACACAGGTAGAGAGGGAAGATGATGTGAAGCCCAGGAAGAAGATGAGCACAGACAAGACGAGATCCTTCCCTCACTGTCCTCAGAAGGAACCAACCCTTCCAATACCTGAATCTTGGACTTTCAGCCTCCAGACTGTGAGAAAATATTTCTGTTGTCTAAGCCCTACCACTTCCTTACAGCAGCCCTAGTAAAACTAATCCAACACCTCTTCTAACACTTTCAGGCACTGGTCAGTTGCTCATCTTTCCTTCAAAGACAAAATTCTCAGAGTCAACTGTACTCAGTGTCTCCTTCACCACTCCTTGCTCATTCCTGAATTCACACCAAGGTGTCTCTGGCCCTGCCACTCATGCTCTGGGTTCAACAGTGACCTCAATCTTGTACATTCTAATGGACATGTTGAGCCTTATTTTTTTTCAGTCTTTTGGTGGCAATGGACAAGGTTCTCAACTCCTTTCCTGAAATGCTTTCTTCCTTCGGCTTCCGGTATGCAGAACTCTGCGTTTTCCTCTTTCATCTCTGGCCAATCCTCCATTGACTTCTTTTCAAGAATACACTCTTCTACTTTACCATTACATAGAGGAGTTTCTCAATGCTCAGTTAACAGGCTCACTTCTCACCTATTCTCAGCTCTTTCCTTAGGCAATTCTCATCTTATGAAAGCCTTTGATTTCCATTCATATACAAATGACAAATGTCACCAGCCCAGACTTCTCTGATTTCTGGATTTGTTCAGGACTATCCTTCTACATCTTCACTTAAATGTCTCAAAGTCACCTCAAATTCAACCTATCTAAACCTAAATTAATGATTCTCCACCCACATTTAAACCCAAACACCATCTAGTGTTCCATTAATTGTATACCACCACCATCCATCAAGTCTTGCAAGCCATAAAAATGACTCATCTCTGGTATCTTCTTTCGCATTCTTACTCCCAGCAATCTCCTTGGAACTTCTGACATCATTGGAATTTTACAATAGTGTTTAATCATGCACCATACAGGTGGGAACTTGGTCTATTTTACTCACTATTATATTCCGCCTAGCACAATGTCACAACTAACATGCATATTCATATTTGAATGAGTGAGCAAATAAATAGTAGTAGAAAACTCACTGTGTGCAAAACATTAAACATTTTATAAATATTATCTTCTTTGATCCTTGTGAAAGCTCTATTAAGTAGGTACTGTTATTGCTGTTATTGTTATCTTTGGTTTACTAAGGAGGAAGCTACGGCATCAAGAGGTTACAGTTCATTCCCCAGGTCAAACAATTTGAAAGTGGTAGGAAAGGGTGAACTCTGGTTACTTGGGTGACTTGATACCACCACGCTATTCCATCATTATGGTTTTCAAAGATACCCCCTTATTTGCTGTTTTAGTTACCCTTGGTCAACAGAGATCCAATAATTTAAATGAAAAATTCCAGAAATAAACAATTCACAAGTTTAAATCGCATGCTGTTCTGAGCGGTGTGATAAAATCTTGCACCGTCCCACCCAGGATGTGACTCATCCCTCTGTGCAACATAGCCACACTATACATGCTATCTGCCCATTAGTCACTTAGCCTTCTCAGTCATCAGACGGTCATGGTACTGCAATGCTGCATCCAAGTACAGTGACCCTTATTTTACTTAATAGTGGCCACAAGGTGCAATAGTAGTGATGCTGGCTATTCAGACAGGGTAAAAAAAGTCCTAAAGTATTTCCTCTATGTGAAAAGGTGTGCAAATAAATGAAAAAACATAGCATATTTAGGTTTTGGTACTATTCATGATTTCAGGCACTTGGGGGGTCTTGGAACATATCCCTCTCAGAAAAGGGGGGGACTACTGCACTCTTAAATACTTGGCTAAGCTTACCTGGATTTAATACAAGCTATCTTTAACATGAACATATTACATTTTAAAAATTACACATATTCAATGCTCAGAAATCTTTAGTTTGGTTATCATGAGATAAAACCTAAATCCTTTTGCCTGGAAATCAAGATCATCCACGATCTAGCTCCTCTGTCATTTCAAACCTTTGTCCCTATGACATCCTGAGGATCTGGTCAGGGAACAGCAAACTACAGGCCAATTATGGCCTACCACTGTGTTTTGTAAATAAAATTATATTGGAGCACAGCCACACATATTCATTTACAAAATGTCTATGCATTACAATGGCAGATTAAATAGCCATAGCTGCAAGAAGACTGTATGATTCACAAAGTCTAAACATTTACTATTTGGTCTTTCACAGAAAAAGTAAGTATGCCAACAACTGAAGTAGATTTTCTGACTAGATCTAGTGCCATGGAAATAAACACAATAGCTACCATTAATCAAGTGCTGGGTTCTTTCAATAAAACTTTCAAAAGTGGACTTATTATCACTGTTTTAGTAATAATAAAAGGGAGGAAAAGAAAGGGAGGAAGGAGGAAAAGGAAAGATAAAGGTTCAGGTGGCTAAATAATGTAACCATTGTCACACAGCAAATATATGTAAGAATTAGGATTCAGAACATGTTTATTGTCTATGATGCTCTATGACTCAAAGGCCAAAAATTTCCCATGGTGCCTTACTGCTTCCTTTTTCTTCAATTGAGCCTGGGAGTTCATGCTGCTATTATTTATTCATGCTGTTCTTTACCTCCACAAAATGCTAATTCTTTTAAATCTAAAAAAGGTGGCTGCTGAAGTCATACACATTCTTGGAGAACAAGCTCAAGTACTACCTCCTCCATTAAATTTTCCTAGATTACCTGCGGCCAGGGGAATGATCCTCCTATAAATGCCCACAGTGTTGGGAAACACCCTGTCTGGTTTCAGAAACTGCAGCTGACAGGCGAGAGGGCCCCAGGGCTGGTGATAATCAAGGAGGCCTTGGGAAAACAGGCCACTGAGGAGATGAAACCTGTCCCGCTGACAGGGATGCAGCCCCTGCCTCCCTCACATCACTCTGCTTGGCCCTGTGATGGTTGGTAGTCAATGACAGGTAAGATCCCTCGAGAAGGGACAACCTAAGCCAGACACAGCTGAAATGGGCAGCAGGACAAGGACTTGGGGGACACAGAGAAAGGGCAAAAAGACTCGCACCCCTTGGCTCAGCTTAGATATGGCTGGGGTCCTCATTCTATCTGAAAGAAGTCTCCTTGTCTCTTGGCGGCTCCTTCCCCCCGCCTGGCTCAGGTTTGAAACCATACTAGAGACAGTCCGAAACAGGATCTGGCGGTTCTCAGGGGAAATCAGGCCTAGAAGTAAATTCTTTAAAGCATGCTTAGCTTTTCCCTCAAACACTACGATAGCCAGCTCATGCTGGGAAGAAAATTTACATTATTCACAGACCCTAACCCTAAACCTTTTGGCACTCTCAGGTTTACTAGTCTCCTCTTGGACCCATGTAAATCAGTGTGTTCCTGCTACTTGTTTTCTTCAAAACATCATCTATTCTCTGTAAACATTTAACTGACTGATGTCATGAGATCACCTGCACACTGCTGTTACCTAGCCCCACTGCCAACCCTGTCAATAAACGCCTTTGGACAAAAGGGCTCGGGGCCTTCCCCACTGGAGGGAAGAGCCGTGCCCCCTCTCCTGGCAGACAGAGACATGTTTGCGATGACTTGTGTTTATTCCCCCATCCATGACACCCCCGGGACAGGCTCTGCGGGATTCAGAGCCCCCTCCCACCTCAGTTGGCTCAGGACAGTGACCCTCAGATCCAGGGGACCAGCGCTCCCCACAGCACCATAGCACTTCAGTCATAACTTTGTGACACTTAATATTCTCCTCCTCTTAGGTTTAATGACAGCGAAAGCCAAGTCTACCTTTATATCCTCTATAATACCTAATACAATGTCTTCTTTATAATAAGCATTTAATAAATAATTGCCTGATGAATAAGTCAATCTAATAAAAACATTTCTAATCTGGATTTTTAAGTAAAATATTTTAAGATTTATCTCAATAATTGAGCACAAAAATTCAGGATGTAGTCTAAGGAACAAAAATGTCTTTCTTAGCACTGATTTTTGGTATAAAAGTAACTAAAAATTTATAAATATTAAATACACTGAAAGCTATCTATTAATTTCACATAATAAAATTTAGTATTATAATTACTTTTATTACATTTTATCACTTTGCTAGGGTAGAAAAACTCAAAGCCCAAATTAACAAAAAACTAACAAATTATTAGAAATAAATCAAATTATCAATAAAATGTTATTTATTGTAAGAATACAATAAATAGATGCTTCCAACAACTAGTTTTTTCCTGAAGTTCATTCTAATAGTGTAAGCTGAATGCTCAATGTCATCATTCTAGAAAAATACAATCTTAATGCAAATACTATTTTGTAAAACTACACATAATTAAAAATAGTTTAGAGCCTGGTTTGATGTATCTAAGGTTCTCTATGTAGTAGAAATAAGGCTTAGCATAAAATCAGTCACTGAGTAAAAGTTATTTTTTAAAAATCCAACATTTATAATTAAAAAGTGTTACATATACTCAAATCAGATACCTACCTGCATCACCTTCTGCTGAATCTCTTCTAGCTGTGTACGCTTACTACGTTGCCTACAAACTTCCTGGTAACGGGTATATTGCTCTCGCAGTGAATCTAATAATTTCATAACCTGTGGCTGTGCCAGCAGTTCATCATCCATAGGAGACCATGACACCCCTCCATCTGAGCCATTAAATCGACGCTGCTGTAATTCGGATAACAATTCATGCCCTTTACAGATAAAAGATACTTACAATTAATACCCATGAAGAAATAAAATTCTTCTCAATCTTCTCAATTCCAGTCCCTTATTTTTAGAAGCTACCTACCTATATGTCTACCAACCTACTAAGTGCTGAAATGTAATTTTAAAACTTATATAGAAATAAAATAGAAAACTGCATATATGCATGTATATGTATAGGTATACAATATGGTATACTTATATGTTATTTCATATATCAAATATATTATACTAAATATGCTATACTATACAGTAAATACATATGGTGCATACGTATTTTATCTATACCTATCACATTCTTCTTGTTGGTGGATTCATTCAAGATACTGTGCCAACCAATCCTCTTCCCTGTAGAGCACAATTACACTCTGGAATTTCTGTCTGATGGTAAAAATCAATACTAAGCAATATGTTGTACGATTTCAGTATTAATCCATACTTTTTTAATCACCACTCCTTAAAAAAAAAATGATGGTGTGGCAAATGTTTGATTAAAGATAAAAAGTCTTTATTACTGGTACAACATATTTAAATAATCTCTATATGACTCTCTACAACCCATTATTTTGAATCATGAGAGGCCAAAGAACTGCATCCAATGTTATTCGCTTACAGCAAACTAATGTGGAAGAATATCCACTCATTCCTGAGAAATTAGAACTGCAGAATGTATAACATTTAAAGCTGTAAGTATATTAACAATTTTAAAAGTAAATAAATTAACAAATTGTTTTTCAATTTTTAGGAGTTGAAAAATGCAGATACTTAAATTCTTTTGTCTTCAGAAAAATATCCTAAATTTAAATGGCTTTTAATACAGGTATGGGCAAAAGAAGGTTTACAGTTGTTCATATGGAAAACAAAATATTATATAATACAACAATAAATCCTGTGTTTCAAGGATTCACAACTGTAAACCTACTTTTGCCCCACCCTGTATTTTTACTGATAGTCTACTATACCTTCTAAACACTCAAGAAATTACAATTATTTCTTTGTTCTCTAAAAGAAATTAAGATTAATCATACTAAGAAGGCTTAGGACAACTGAATCAATCAACAAAGATATTCCGAATTTATTTCTTTACTCTTCATTACATTTTATAGTTGGAAGAAAAACTATTTTAACACCTAATGCAAAGTCTAGTCTATTTATAAATGTAAACACATATTTACATATATATATTCCAGCCCAAATATCTCTAATAGTGGTTTCACAGATTCTAGCAGAACACAATGGAATTTTTTAGAATAAAATTACCTTAATTTAACTTGTAATGTATTTTCTAATAATAGCACATAATTCTAATTCTGCTGGTACCAGACACTGTTCTAAATGAGTTACATATGTTAACTCATTTATCTTTAGCTCAACCCAGTGAAGTGTGGGTAGTTATCTCAATTTTAAGATGGGAAACCAAGGCATGAAAAAGTTAAGTGACTTATTTATGTAAGTAATACAACTAGTACAATAATAATAGAGTTGGGATTTGAGTAGTCTGGTTTCCAAGTATAGTCTCTGAAATCATTATGTGTTGCTGTTTCTCTAACAGAAATGGTATCCATAAGGAAAACACTAAGGGTAAGTTGTCAAAATAGAAAAACAAATGTATTTTTATCTTAATGGCTTTTATGGATTTAGACATACACTACACACCACGCAGCAGTGAAGACACACTACGTGCAAGGCCTTTGCAAGATGGTAAGTATTTGTACAAAGATGACTATAAAACAGTATAGCCAGTAGCTTTGGATTTAGACCTGTTTTTAGTGCTATGGTGAGAAAGCGTAATAGTTAATCTTCATCAAGCCTTTTAGTATCTCTAAGCCTTGGTTTCCTCAAGAACAAAATAGAAAAAAGAATTCTAATAATCTCAAGGGGTTGTTAGAATAAAATACAAAAATTATTTCAACGGAGAGCTAATTTAGCAATTTATCATTATTAATATTTTTAATATTGCAAAATATTTTTTGGTTAAACCAAAAAGCAGTTTGAAGTTTTTTTGAGTTTCTACCACATAATACAGAGTAATTAATCACTAAACATTGTCGATAGACTCTCCAACATTAAGCAAAAGGAGATATAACAAGACCAGTTTTACCATAGGCTAATTGACATAAACATGATTTAAGTTCTTACAGCATCTCGTGACATTATAACAAAATGACTTTGAACAAAATGATGTTATTCAAGGACCTGCTGTATATGCTCAACCAATGTTTATTTCATGAACCTATCAATACAGGGTTGGTTTATTGGATTATTACTGATCAGTGCATTTTTTCATCTTACCTGTCTGAAGAACTGTTTCAGGATCAACTGATGGAAGGAAGTTTAAATCCACAGACCTGGCAAGCACCAAAACAATAGTTTTTAACAGCTATCATTTCTATCCATATAAGTTAAGAAAATCCTTTATACATACATATTAAAACAGGTACACACAAGTATGAAAATCTGAGGTATACCGTTCTACTATGCTAATTTCTCTGAAGTATCAGGAAGCCCATTAGAAATAATTAAATACCTGCACCCAAAGAAATATCTATGTGATAAATCACAAAATATACTACTTGGAAAAATACAGTTTATTATTATTAGTTATGATATTATTTCAAATATATCCAAAACTTCATTCTAGTAGTTTTCACTGGATATTTGTTTCAAAAGGAAATTTGTAACTATATAAGCCAGAAATGTTAACATTAAAAACACATGTAGCCACGTGCCAGTCAGAAGTTTACTTATCTACAGCAACCTTTGAGAGTTGCAAATAGTTTTATATTGTGTGTGTGTGTGTGTGTGTGTGTGTGTGTGTGTGTGTTGAGCAATTATACTCTCTTCCCTGTACTAATTACGCTTTGTGTGAGTTGGACTATGGCCTTTATTAAACAAATTTGGAAAGCAGAGATGAAGGAAAGATAAGAGTACAAGGCATATCAAAGCCTAGGACCTTGCTGCTGTAACTGAGAAATCTTGCTCTAAATCTTTCACTTTTGTCTACTGATCTAGGCTTTCCGTTCTTACATAGCCTAGATGCTTCCTGATGGCTGACATAAAGAAGATGATGAAAATTTGCAACAGGAGGGACTTTAACCATCGGAGGTTTTAGAGACTAAGCAGTAACACTTGAGTTCCCTTAGGAGGAACTGGCAAATACAAGATTTTATTTAATACTTCATACAGTCATGTGGACAAGCATATACCAAAATAATTTCCAAAATACTGAACAAGATATTATTAGATAGGGGGAAAAAAAAAAGGGAGTGCCACGGGAATGTAAACACAAGTCATTCTAAGAAAGCAATTAAACAGGTTTCTCTACTGCACCACTTTCTCAGAATTAAACCCTATGACCCTAAACTCACTTTCTATAGGCACCTTTTCAGTATGTCTTTCCTGAGGGGACAGGACTTTAAGAAACATCAAACTTACTCTGCTAGACTATGCAGAAGGCAAGAAGTTCAGCTAATTTTTATCAAGTAGCTTGTGTGAGATTTTTCACTTCCTAAGCCACAGCATGTAAGTGTATGTGATCTCTATACATATACTCTTGCATTTTATGTATATGTAAAATTTTTACATTTTACACTTTTATAATGCATCTATAGGATAGTAATGTTTCTAAATGTTTAACTTTAATAAGATTTACATTCAAACCATTTGTTTTCACACATTTACTTTGTTTTAATCAAGATTTTGTGTTACACAATGACCTTCTTATATCCCTCTTATTATCTCAGTTGATTGGTACATGACTATATTTCGATTTATGGAATAAAAAGATGAATTTTATCAAAGCTCCATTATATTTGTTAAGGCCAGATTCAAAATAGAGAAATAAGAATGAATACTAATTCTTTCAAATTTCCTAATAAAAAATTACTGTTCTAGTGACCATTTTGTTACTGAGACCGGAAGGAGTTAATTTGTATCCTGAAGTGCTTTTTACCTGGGGAGAAGGACTTGGCCTACCAACAGGAAAATAAAAACTGTTAAGGTTATAAAGATCAGTGGGAACCTGTTAAGGCGATTTACCTACCTAGTTACACCTAGAGAACACTATTGAACAATTACTTCACCTAGTGTCATTAAACACTAAATTCCTCAAGCTGAACTCATGAATATCACACATTTTACAAGCACATGGGAGTTCTACAAGCCAGACATTAATTTAGGTGCAAAGGTATTTACATAAGGTTATATTAATTTTAAGCTGCAACCTTTCCCATATTCTTCACAAGCAAAGCAGAATTATAAGATAGAAAATTGTTTCATTTTGAAAATATGCCCTTGCCAATTAATATTTTGCAGTGTCAGAAAAAGGTAAAGTTATTACTGATCATCAAATACAAGTCTCTTGTAAAAAAAGAAATTGCTTCAAATGAGTTTTACATGTAAAGCAAATTCTCAAAAATTAAAAAATAAATGTAATTCAAATTTCATTTGTCTATTTTTATTGGAGACCTGCTTACCTTAGCTCTTTTAGCTTGCATTAACAATAGAGGCACCTTTTATCAGGTTAATCATATCTTTGCAAGGGTGTAATTGCATGTCTCTGGCCACCTACCTTTCTTTCTCTTGATTTCCTTTATCACTTCCATTGTTAATCAAAGCAAGTTCATCTAATAATGACGTAGATTCCTTTGTAAACTTCTCAAAAACCTACAATATGAAATTTTATTAACATATTAAGAATTATTCTAAAAGTTAGTATGTACAAAAGGATTTTCAGTTAAGAGCAACAGAATTAGCCAGGCAGGATTCCCTTTCCCTCTCTGGATGTCACTTGGTACCAGTCACCCATCAGAGCACAACAGTGTATATAGGAGAGACTAAACCACTTCCTCAAACAATGAGTAGTGTCAATGGATAAGACATTTTTACAATTTAAGTACATTATTACATTATTTTTGTCAATTGACATGTTTATTTTTATTCCTGTATTTCCTTGAAAAACACCTGCACCTAAACCAGCTTTAACTACATAAATGTTTAGAAAAGTCTTAACCATCTACTTCCACTTACAGAACTTTTCTTTATGTTATTTATGTTATTCTATTACCAATCCATACTGGTTACATGTAATAGTTAAGTAATTTTACATACAAGCATATAGCATAAAAATAAATTAGTTGTAATTTTAACATGAGTTGTTAAAATATTTCTAAAAAGGGATTTGGGTGAGTCCAATTAAAATAAAGTGGACATTCGTTTGTTTGATAACATTATTCAAATATGGTGGAAATAGAATTGGTTTTCCATTCTGAAATCTCTACAAGTTCATTATTCTTTAATAAAATGAGCATATAACCCAAACTGAGTTTTAATATGAAATTTTTTTTTTCTTAGTCCCCAGCAGTTTGGTTAAATAATGCTGTATTATACAGAATAGCAGATTTCAGAAGTCAGACTAAGAAGATACATTTTTCAGAAATGTAAACCATCACCTGCCAAACTGCTCTTCAATTCAAACTGATGTTTAAGTAGTTTCTCTGAGAATGGTATATCAACTAGATTACCTTTTAGGAAATTATGCTACTCTCTTATTCTACTTAAAAAATTCACAACGTTGACTAATAACACTGCTACCAATGACAACGGTCATAGCTAACACTTATGAATCTGACTCCAGAGTATCTGCCTTCAAGCATTATATTATTACATGGTATACACTGTATTTCTTCTTTTTTATAAGAAGGAAGACAATCTTCATTCTAACAATTATATTTTAGTTGATTAAAATGGTGAACAGCAACATATATCCTATTTATATGTAGTAACATTTTATTTCATTGTAATATACCAACCAGCCTCTTATTTAACCAGTCCATGTGATCATAGGTAAGACTTCCACCAAAATCTTCTGTTAACTGACATGGTTCTATGTAACGTGTCAATTTATTGGCAGACACTAAAATAACCTGTAAAAGAAAAAAAAGAAATAACGAAAAAAGAAACATTTAGTAAACCACTTTTTTATGCCCATGAAAGTGATGAGGAGGTAAAATAAGGTTAAATTATGTATATGGGTTCCGACATGATGATATAGCATTTATTTAATTAATACAACATTTAATATCAATTCAATGCATTGTGGCTATTGCTAATAAATATGCTATCATTAATTGTTTATAACAAATACCGTATTTAAAAAAACGAAACACTAAGTAGCAGTTCGGATGAAATATTTTCAAATTTTTATCTATATTAATAATTTCTTGGTAATAAAAATTCCTTTAATAAAGAACAAACTGACAGTGACCAGAGGGTGGGGTAGGGGGTAACGGGGGAAAAAAGGGAGAGGAGCAAGCAAAGGAACATGAACAGAGAACTCATGGGCATGGACAAGGGAACGGGACTGACTGTGCGGGAGGGGGAGGGAGTAGGAGAAAGGAACGAGCAAAAATGCAGGACAACTGTAACTGAACAATAATAAAAGAAAGAGTCATAAAGCATTTACTCTTCTATAATCTGAATACTTTTTTAACATAATATTTTAAGATGCATATATGTTGTGCTTGTTGCTTTTGTATTACTAATTAATCAATATGCCATTGTATGAATAAAACATAATTTGTTTTAAAAAATTCCTTTAATACTATGATGTATTCAGTAAAGAATTTTGATATAGCCTAAAAACTAACCACTAAAAGTGATAAGCACAAATGAATAATAAATCTGTACACTAAAATGGTAATAAAAAGTACACTAAAATGATAAGCACAAATGAACAGTGAATCTGGCAACTGAAAAAATTATGCACGTTATTATGCTCTTGCATTACACCTTGTAATAAGGAAGTAAAAAGTCTATCATTTTATTGTAATTTGTCAGAAGCTCCTCAGAAAGAAAAGTCAAGTCAAGGAACACGTACAGAGGACCCAAGGACAAAGGCAATGGTGGGGGAGGGGGAGGATTGGGACGGTAGGGTTTAATATGGAAGGTAGGGGGTGGACAGGGGAGAGTAATGGAAACTGAAACTGAACAACAATGTAAAAAAATTAAAAAATTAAAAATTATATGAAGTTTCTCTAACATTCCTTTGATTATATGTTAACAAAATATGTCCTGAATAGTAGAGTAAAACTTGGGATATAGTAATAATTTATTTTGAAAATCAGAACTAAAAAGTGGGGAAAAGGTCAGAGAATTCATAAGCTTGAAACTTACATATTAAAATGATAATCTAAATTTTAACTCAACTTAAAAAGATTTCAAATACAAATTATAGAATCACCTAAGAGACCACTGTAGAGCTAAATAAATTTTCAATGAAGATATACAAAGCTAGGGAGTTAATCTATAATATTGTTTACTTTTTTGTGTTCATAATTTTCTATAATAAAAATATTTAAAAACTAAAATAAATAACGATAAACCTCTTTTTAAAAAAATCTTCCCAGAAAAAAAATACCGGGCCCAAGCAATTTGCAAGTTTTAAAAATCAAAAAAGAAATTTTCAGTGTCTGATATCTTTTACTAATTAATGATGCTGTGAGCGTTTGTGTGTAATGGTGCAAGGTTCCCCAGATCTCAAACCAGCTTCAGTTCTGGCTCTGCTGCTTCCTAGCCCTGAGATCTCTAGCAAGTCCTGTAAGGCCTCAGAGCCTCAGTGACGGCCTCTGTAAAATCAGCACATTTGTCCTGATGATCTACAAGCTACTTTGCTTGGCTGCATGGCTAAGAAGCTTCATTAAAAACTTTTTTAAAAACAATCAAAGAACAGACCATTTTAATCTTAAGTAAATGCTTTCAGATATAAAGGGAATACCTTCAACTCATTTTGAGACTAAAATAACATAGATACCCAAGGACAATTTGAGAAAAGGCCATGATTTACAAATATTTTTGTTAGCCAATATCAAGTGTTAGCAAGGTTGCAGAGTAGCAGAAAATTCTTGTTTTTCATCCTCACCCAAGGATATGTTTTTATTTATTTTAAAGAGAGAGGAAGAGGGGAAGGGGATGGAGCGAGAGAAAGAAAGAGACATCGGTGTGAGGGAGGAACACCGACAGAGGGTCTCCTGTGCACACTCCAACAGGGGACCAAACCCACAACCTAGATATGTGCCATGACTGGAGATCGAACCTGCAGACTTTGGTGTTCACTACAACGAACTAAGTCACCCTGCCAGGGCCCAGCACAAATTCTTATACACCACAAGTGGATATATAAATTAAAATGCCTTTTAGAAAAGTTTGTCATTACCTTGAAATTTGAAACACTTTTATAACCTATGCCAAGGTATTCTGCAAACAAAATCTTAAACATGTTTATCAGGAGACATATACAGGAATGATTATAAAGCATCATATATACTAGTGAAAGAATGGAAACAACCTAAATTTCCATCAACAGAAGAAATATATTGTTTTTATTCACACAATGGAATAACATTCAGCAGTGATAATGAATCAGCTATATCTACTTCAAGAATATTCATGAATCTTAGATAATGATAAGTGAGAAAAAGCAAGTGAGTGAAGACTAAAAATATGATACCATTTTTATAAAACTCAAAAAATAAACAAAACTGTATTATTTTCAAATACTATTCCTAAATAACTCTATAGAGATAGATATAAAAGACTAAAAGATAAACACTCTCGATTTCCTTCTAAAGACTTTGTCTTTCACATTTGAGTTTTTAATACAGAAACAGAATGAGTACATAAACAGAGGATAGATAAATACAATTTAGGTGACAGGAGACGGGGGACAGGAGAATGGAATCAGAGACACTCAGGTTATTTCAAGTTATAGATATTTGGGTTCTCTGGCTAGGTGGTGGGTACTCAGGTGTTTTATTATTTAGCTTCATCTATACATATACATTTTTTAAAGAATATATACCAAATACCATATTAAAAAAACTAAAAAAAGACAAGAATCATGAGAAAAATGAAATGACTTACAGGAGAAACACACTGAGATCTCAAGCTCAGAGTGAGCAAAGGGTACCTGTTCTCAGGCAGCAAGCAAGGGGGAGGGAGAACAAAGGGCAATCTGGGGGTGCTAAGGACAGGGGAGCTGAGAGTTCATGTGATTCTTTTTTTCTATTTAAAAAAAATAAAAGAAATATGATATAGCCAACATCAGATTGCATTTTTGGTTAGTTTAATAACAGCAAACTATATAAAGCCTGTCTATATTACATGGTAATTTAATGTTATCTCTAGTATGAGGAGTTTAGCATATTTTACTGTTTTCTTGTTTAAATAATATTGAAAGCTAATCTAACATAAACATTAGAATAAAAGTATACAGAAAATGATTTTTCTTAGTGAAAAACTTGTCACAGAGAGCTTTATTTTATCCTGGCTAAATGTAGTTTCTTTAGACTAGTTCTTAGAGACAGACACGATGTTAAACATTAAAGAGTAAGTGGAGTTAAGCCACAGAAACCATTTAAGCTGCCACCAACTCCTTTTGGGATAAAGGCAGATACTTCCACACTAAAAGATTAAACACAAGCAGATCCCAGGGAGGGGCTGGCTTTTCCTTCCTCTAAATATGCCTGGCAATCTATAAACTAGATATACACTATCAATGAAAGTGGTGGGGGGTAGGCAGAAACAAATGTATTAGAAAAAATAAATTAAAATTTAAAAAAAAAACTCTAAAAAAAGAAAAAGAAAGAGATGTGTATTTATTCTATGAGGGAATAAACCACTTGCTAAATTGACCATCAATTCACATCAATTCACATTTTGAAAACATTTTCAAAGTACTCTCTCCTGAAAAAAATGACTGACTAGAAAACACAGTAAATGTAAAACATAGTAAATGGTCTCTGTGCTCTTCAATTGTGCCTTATTTGGCACAATATTCTATTTAAAATGCTGTAATAATATCTCTTGAAAAAAATCCCTCTATCATGTCTCTCATAGTATAATCTAACTTTTAATGATGTACTATTCATTTGTTCCACAATCATTATTTATTTGAAGTTATGTGTTCTAATGCTGGGAATGTAAAAATAAATAAGGTTCTACAAAGGAAATCAGCTTTCTGTTTCTGCAATAATCCAGAGACAGCTGTGCAACAGTTTCATAAAAAGCAGATTAAAGTTTTCTGGTTTGTTTCTGAAGTCTTTGTTAAAGAAACTCTAAATAAATCAACATGTTGTTTTCCCTTTGGTCGTAACAGCTCGGAGGGCCAAAGGCTTTACTAGAACACTCCCAAAGGTTTCCAAATTCCTTTTCCAGGTTAAACACCATTATACTATAACCGAAAGGACTCCAGGTTTATGCCCTAGCTCTGCCACAGATGCACTGGCCTTAACAGAAGTCAACCTAAAGTCATTTACTCCTGGCTTCTTGCCCCAACCTGCTGAAGAAGGTAGCTATATTAAATTATCAACGGTGTCTCTTAAAGCTCTGAGAGGACACAATTTTGATGAGCTGTCATCCCATACATTTAATTTGGGCTATCCTCTCTAATATATGGCCTGTCTTGCCCGGCGAAGAATACTTGTCACTTTCCGCCCACTCTGGTTAATCTCACTAAACACAAACACACCTTTCTACATTCTGTAGTTCCTAAATACATGAAATCACTCGTAAAAGATTTCAGCTTTAATAAGCCAAAGAGAAAATCTGCAGTTACTCAGTTCTATGTGGCAAAAGTTATTTGCATTTGACTATTTCTCTTAAAAGCTCTTTTTTCTAAAATTAACTTAAATGTAGATAGTACAGATTCACTTTCCTTTATGACTTAAAATATATTTAAGAGTATACTACAAAAGGAAGAAAAAAATCACTTTGACAAGTCCTTTCAAAGGAAACACAATGAAATTACTTTAATAGTAAATGCTACATTAATATTACTTTTCCCTTTATTTTATTTATGTTAGAGAGGTTAAGACAGGACAAATAGCACCATACCACTGTTCAACAAGTTTGAAAAGAAAGATATTTA